ATATTTTGGTAACACTTTACAATAAGGTTCATTAGTTAACATGAACTAAGAATTAAGAAGGCTTCTACAGCATTGAAATCTTCGTTAAAGTTAAAGGTGCTGTATGTAACTTTAAAAGCATAAAAAATACCATATGTTTGCGTACATTGAGGAAACATAAGCGCACATACTCGTTTCTCTGAAAAACACTTCTACAGCCAGTTATTTTACTCTGAAACGTGCGTTTCCAGGCTGGAATGTTTGTTATTGTTTTGGTCTGTGAGACTGCATGTGGCCAATTTGCCAATTTTCACCGTCCATTGCGGTCGTTCCTGTTGCGTGTGCTCAAACTGGCAACCCGTCCAGTCTGAAGAGCAGGTTGCGTTCTTACAGACTGCACCTTTAATTTCAGCATTTACCAAGACATTATTAAAATCAAATGTTGTATGTGTTAATGCACTGTGAACTAACATGAACAAACAACGAACAGCTGTATTTGTATTAACTAACATTAACAAAGATGAATAAATACTGTAACAATTGTTTGTTCGTGTTAGTTAATACATCAACTAATGTTAATAAATGAGACCTGATTGTAAAGTGTTACCTGTATTTTAATAAATTGTTTGTCTTGGACACACATCAGACTCACTGAGGTCGTTTATTTGTATTATTAGCCTGACTTATGCAAAACCTGAGTTGCCAATGTAAGCAGCACACAGGTTTCACATAATGTTTAGTAAAATAACTGTACACTCTAAAAAATGCTGGGTTGTTTTAACCCAATTTTGGGTCAAATATGGACAAACTCAAACATTGGGTTAAAAATGTAACCCAATGGCTGGGTTTGTCCATATTTTACCCAAAATTGGGTTAAAACAACCCAGAGTGTATTTGTCCTCTGTCATTCTTGTAAAGTCTTGGTAATAATATAATACACAGAATAAATTGTATGCTTTTGGTCTGTTTCAGATGAAAGATGATCAACTGGAAACTATCGAATTATTATTATTATTATTATTTTTTTGCTTGTGGCTCATAAACAGTGTCCTATGTTGTACTGTGAGAGAGGCTCAAAGATGATAAGGATAGCCTGTGAACATTTAGGATGACAATCTCAAAGTGTGTTTGCTGCTACGACCCCCTCTACTGATTAGCCAGTGATAATACAACATATTGATCAATATGACGTCTCCAAAACTTAAATACCATGGAGGCGAAAAGAGCTAAAAGGAATAGTTGCACTAAAACCACTATTCATCTTGCTCTATTTGTTTACCACTAGCGCATGCTGATTACATTTTATTCTACTAACTAAAGATTTTAGGTGTCTTCATCATGATTTGTAATGATCTTATAAGATTGTTGAAATCGCAGTGTGTCGAAGGTATGAGATTCTTCATGAAAGGGTTTCATCTAAAGTTTTTTTTTTCTGTTTGACAATTATATGCAATTAGGGAAGTCTCCAGTAGCTTCTTAACTTAAAGTGGAAGGAAGACCCGAAAATCTTGATCTTCATTCTTGAGGAAAATTGCTTTTGACTTTCAAGGAGTTTTTAAGTATTATTCTGAGGACTGACCCATTGTGACTGTCTCTCTGTGTCACAGAGGTCATCCTTGCTCAACTAGTTTCCACGCTTGTGTGTTTTATAATTGAAGTGTTGTACTTCTAATGCTGGTTGCACATAAATTAACAGAACAGAAAATGCACTTTATATCATGGACATTTATAAATGGAGCTTAACCTGCATATAGTGCTAGCTGTACAGTAGCCACATTTTTTTTTAAGTTATCAATTCAGGATAAGAGATCTGTGACGTAAATAACAGCTAATAAATGTTGAATGTGAATCAAGTTACAATAAAAAAGGTGACGCATGATAGATGACTAGTGTTTTCAAATGGCTGAACCTCAGCAGAAAACAGTCGCCCTCCTCGATTTAAAATTTAAGAAGTCATTTTAAATGTGCCGTGACCAAAACTGCACCAATATAGAAAGCCATATTTTCTGTAGCTGAATATATATACACTCACCTAAAGGATTATTAGGAACACCTGTTCAATTTCTCATTAATGCAATTGACCCTTCGCTAAGCCCCACCCTCCCTAGTTACTGTTGCTACGCCTGTCAAGCTTTCGCGACTGGCCCATCTATTATAGTGTGGATGCACCCGGTGTCAGACATTCCCAATGAGATAATTGGTAATTTTCGGCGAACAAGTGAAATATCTGAGAGAGCAAGACAAAAGGGACTACAGTATGCATTCGAGGGATATATTCACGACATTATATGCAACCGAATAGAGAATAATTTCTTAAAAATTGAAGTTAAAGCCTAACGTTATAGTCCCAGCGCAAGCAGCAGCGCCTCATACGCTGACCGTTCAAATGGAAAACACAAATTAAGGAACAGCTATGTTCATACACAGCAGGGTATGTGAAAATAATCTTAATAATTATAAATCAAACAGCTTATCAATAAATCTTGTGGAATAACTAATACCGGGAGAGCCGCGATCGGATTGGGTTAAGTTAAGGGGTAGCTAATGTTGGTAGGACGTCGATTAACAAAATGCTGAAATATATTTTAAAGTATGTCAGTGAGCCTTTGTCTTGTCTCTTTAATAGTCTTATTTTACGTTATCATTATGACCACAGTGTTTCCTCTAGGATTTTTTCAAGCTGTGGGGGCAGGCCCATGAGGCGTGGCCTACGGGTGATAGTCCCTTAGGCCACGCCCCCTTGTCTCCCCAAAGTATTATAAGCGATCATGCGCATCCCGTGTGCAGAACGATGCACTTGAAGCAACACCAAGTCACAGCACGCAACGCTTCACATTGAAAAGAACATAGCGAAGGGATGATATCTATAATCTATGCTTAGTAGGGCTGCACGATTTGGGAAAAATGTCATATTGCCATTATTGAGCCAATATTGCAATTGCGATTTGCGACTCCGATATAATAAAATGGTTTCATGAGTCCAACTTGCTTGGTTCTAAAGTAAAATGCTCACACAGATTAATGTTTATTTCTCAACTCAAACTAAAAACAACAACAACAATAAATGATTGATAACACCTATAATGATCAATAAACCATCAACCAAACCAACATTACAGTGATTCCATCATTACAATTGAAAGCTATGAACTTTTTAAAAAATTATTAGGCTTAAAAAAAAATATGTAACAGCTTTTAAATTAAGTGAACTTCAAACAATCCCCACATAAACCCATAATAAAAAAACATATTTACCTGTGCCCTTCCTGTCTTAACAGGTACAGAAATTGAATAAAGCTATCATCAAACAGTCTGCGCTGCATGAATCATAAATTATATATAGAATAATCCTTATTAAAGCTACAAAAGTTCTTTAGTCAAGATCAGTGAGTAATTTTCTAATTTCCCTAATGTTCTTTTAACTTTACTGAGAACGCTTTAAGAGAACCCGTTGCCGAGACGCGCATATCTCACACGCGCCTCATAGCACAACTCTTTTCATCCACAGACTTTTCTTATGTTATGAAGATACTAGACAAAACGACATTTTGGCATAATTGTGTGTGCTATTGTTCGTTCAAGCTCGAACGAGAACTGTTTATTCTGGCACGCGGTCAGTGCATGCGCATTATGCGAGTCTCATCTATTCTTATCTAGGGCACTCACAGGCAGCTTTTCACTTCTTGTCGTGCAAAATGCGAAAAGGCATTTGCACAAGAGGGGGATCTTGTAACACTAGTCAAAGGATGACAAAAAAGAAGAGATTTTTTCATATAAAATCGTGGCATTTTGCGTTATATAATTGCATAGGTTTGAGATCGCTATTACGACTGTGATATGATTAATCGTGCAGCACTAATGCTTAGTGTATTCTAAAGGGCAATAAACTCCACTCCAGCAAGATAGTCATTTTATGCAAATCACAGACCTTTATGCTTTATCTACAAAATAAAGTATAATATCGGGAACATTGATCTTGAAGAGAGTGTCGTCGTGTTACTGTCGCAACCGAACGCGACGCGCGCGAATGCTGAATGCATGGAGAATGACTGAGGCGAGATGACTTTCCGTTAACTTTAACTTAGAGACTAAAATATTAATTTTGCCACACATTATGCTATTGAATGACTTTAGAAGTCTTGGAAGATAGTGTGAAAACTTGATTGTGCTTTACAAAGTTTTTTGTGCCTTTAGTGGGGCTTAACAAAATAACACAATATGCAGAATGTCAGACGTCACTGAAAAGCTGCAGCCGTGGCGGGAGGATTTTAAGTGTGGCGGCCCGCCACGGGAGAATGAATGTAGCGGAAACACTGGACCAAAGCGTCATTATTTCCAAGCAATGGGTGTTTTTTTTTAAGCATGTCGACATTTACCAGAATGGGTCTCGCACATAGATGCTAGATCACGCCAATCATTTCTCCCCTTGGCTTTTAGATTTTCTGGAAGGAAAACAATTCCTCTCCCCCGTCCAAACTTTTAGTATACCGGTATCAGATTTGCACAATCCATACGCACAATGCTTCAGCATGTTCCCTCGTTCGAAAGCTTGCCAGTCAGACCTCCCGCGCATAGTTACGGTTGCTAAGACATGATTGGCCAGTGGCGGTTTTCGGGCGTGGCTTAGCGAAGGGTCAATTATCTAATCAACCAATCACATGGCAGTCGCTTCAATGCATTTAGGGGTGTGGTCCTGGTCAAGACAATCTCCTGAACTCCAAACTGAATGTCAGAATGGGAAAGAAAGGTGATTTAAGCCATTTTTTAAGGCCGGTCTGAGTATTTCACAATCTGCTCAGTTGCTGGGATTTTCTCGCACAACCATTTCTAGGGTTTACAAAGAATGGTGTGAAAAGGGAAAAACATCTAGTATGCGGCAGTCCTGTGGGCGAAAATGCCTTGTTGATGCGAGAGGTCAGAGGAGAATGGGCCGACTGATTCAAGCTGATAGAAGAGCAACTTTGACTGAAATAACCACTCGTTACAACCGAGGTATGCAGCAAAGCGTTTGTGAAGACACAACACACACAACCTTGAGGCGGATGGGCTACAACAGCAGAAGACCCCACCGGGTACCACTCATCTCCACTGAGCTGTAGTGGAAGACCATCCGTGCCTCTGAGGAACCAGTCGGCGTCCTGGAGATACTGAAAGCGGGCAACGACACATTTGTGGTGGTTGAAAACCTGAGATACCTACTTTGTCAGCATGACACAGAGAAGCCTGTTTATTTCGGGCACGGGTTCCGGCCGCTTGTTCGTCAGGGTTACATGAGCGGAGGAGCCGGATAAGTTCTGAGCCGAGAGGCTCTCAGGAGATTTGTGCAAGGTTTCGACACGGAAAGCTACAAGCATTTCAGCTCCGTGGAGGACATGGCCTTGGGGAGGAGGATGGAGACCATGGGAGTGAAGGCCGGGGATTCAAGAGATCCAAACAAACAAGAAACATTTAATCCTTTTACACCGGAAAACCTTCGCCAGAGAGTGGAAAACGAGCCTGCTACAGTTACTACACAACAAAACAGGTGAGAACAGCTGGCAGGTTTTCATTGAAAATATTTGTGAGTCATTCTAGTTAAACCTAAGCTCCACCCTGCTTGGTTACTGTTGCTAACACCGCATAACACTGGGCTTGATGACTTTGATGACTTTTTCCATTGGTTTTGGACAGTGGCGCAAAAAGTGGGTATGCGCTATATGCGGCGCATAGGGGCGCAGTACAATGGGGGGCGCCAAAGCGATGGTAAAAAAAAAAAAAAAAAAAAAAAATTATATATAGGCTATATTGTATTTCTATATGTAGCTGCCGTTGTCCGTTTCTAAATCATTTCTGCATTCCTTCAATGTTATATAAAATTTTAGAGGACTAACAGCCAGGCTAGAGTAGGCGCCCTCATGGAGAAGGGGGGCGGGTAATATCGCGAGCGGGCGGGGGCGCCGTGAGCGCTGAGCGAGCAGGTACAAGTAGTGAGTTGTCGTCGAAAAAGATGGATAAAACAAAATGCTGTGGGGCTAAAAATAGAAAAAGAAAGAGAGAAAAGGAGATGGCATGTCAATTGATGCAACAGCAGCTAAATAACTGCATGCATTGCTGAAAGCCAACAGGTAGGATTTAAAATGTGACATCCAGGCATAGGCTATCTCGGTGGCCATCGGGACTACCGGGAGATTCCCGCTGGGCCGACGTGCTTTTCCTTTTTTAATTTATTTGTCTTAACGGCCCACAAAACTCATACATCGGCGGCCCATTTGTTTGTTTGTTGTTTGTTTTTGATTTGTTTTTTGCTTAATTGGCGGCGCTGTGCTGGTGTAATGCATTGGTCAAAAAAGTCAGCTTTAGTTTTTTTTTCTGACACACTGGCCCATGAAATATGTCATTATGCGCAAGTATCTTTCAAGTATAGAAATTAGTGCAAAACTAATTATGAAAGTTTCCTTTATTTTTCTGTGCATTTGTTTTACAATAGCCTTAATGGCAATTACTATCATGGGATTAATATTATAACTATTATTATGTAGTAGTGTAATGTAGACAGACACTAACTAAAAGAGGTTCAAATTTTTCTCTGTTTAATTTGCACCCTGAAAATGGGTTGGAGCTTTTAATTTTGAACTCTCAAAGTGCACCAGACTGCTGAATTTAACATTACAGAACACAACATTTTCTTACGGGGGAGCATGCCCCCGAACCCCCCTAGAGAAACAGAGGTCCACCTACCACAGTTTTACCTAAAATCCTGTGAGAAACACTGCTATTGCTGTTACAATGGAGCTTAGTTTTCTTAGGGGGGTTCATCAAGGTGGAGTAGCTATAGTTTAATTGTGTTAATAAACGACAATTTTGCACTTATTTTTTCTGTTAGCTCTCATTTCTTCCTACTCAGTTATTACATAGCACACTTACATTACATTTATGTAATTTTTTTTTTTTTTTTTGGGGGGGGGGGGGGGCGCTAAAATTGTTGCTGCATACCCCTTTGAAACTGGGTAGTTGCGCCCCTGGTTTTGGAAGTACTATTTCCATGCATTTCTCACATAGGGATTTGAAAAAAGTCTTTGTTAAAGCGTTATGATGAGCAATGGACCAAGCCAATCAGCCATGAGGTGAATGATAATAACACTACAAACTTTGATTCAGAGCAAAACAAATTTTTAAATCGTACAAAAATACAAAGGTAGAAAGACTGAGTACTTAACGTTTTAGTGAGGGAAAAAACTACAGCTTACGATGGAGGAATATAAAACTATGCAATTAATAATGTTGATTATATATATATTGCAAAATAGTTTGAGAGCGTAGTGAGATTGACTGGATTAAATGATTCGCAGTGTTTCATGGGAGTGGGCGGGGCTAAAGAGATCTTTTGGGCGTTTTCTTGTTTCGACTCTGATTGGTGTAATTTTCTGTACAGCATCATGGGTAATATAGTTTTTCACTTTTATTTCCAGTTGAGTCATGCACCTGAGACTCGTCTCTCTGTAGGCAAGGGCGTGGTTAGCTGGTACCCTCTTATGTCACAGGGCACCACAACATCCAATAGGAAAATTCAATTGCAGTAGCCACCATTCAACCTGAAGAGGGCAGCACTTTTTTACACCATATATTGTAGAATAAAAAGACTTTATACCCAAAATGACTTAAATCAATGAACAGCATTAGTAAAGCCTTATTGAAAAAATTAATGGAGTTTTTACTTCTGGAACCCGACTGTTGAACCCATTGCGCGACAATGTTCGGAGTAAGACATTCAGTAGGAATGAACTAGAGATGTACGTGAACAGGGTCATTTTCAGTCAAATTATTAGCAGAAAATGCTCATATTCAGACATTTCACAGGTGACAGCAAAACTTATATTAGCCATTTATCATAAAAAAAAAATACAATTACTCAGGAACGTGAATAAAAACCGCAGAGACTGTGTATCAGAATCCTTTACCACGTTTTTGAATATTTAATGTAAAATTCAGTTTAAACCTGGAAACAGAGATAGACTTGCAGTTTGGAAAAATAAATCAAACCCTTTTTTTGTTGTATATCCTGTTTCACTCAGATATACATCAGATTGCAGAACATAAAAGTCATTTTTGTTATTTTGAGAAAGCATAAGCATAAATACTTTAACTGACATTAAAAATATTTTATGTAAATCATTTTTATATATTTTATTTTAACTTAATTTCAGTTTGCAGTTACAATTACTGTACAACAAATGTTCTTTTTTTACTGTTTTAAAACTGTAAAAATATCTCTTTTCTCAGCATCATAATAGAGCAATATTTCATGCTCTAAGAAAATTTTGAAGTTAAAATCATTGTAAATATTAATACGATTCCTACTATAGTTAAAATGTTTTAAAACAAATATTTCTAGGACTTGTGTACATTGAAGTATAACTTTTGCATAATGACCCTGACCACACACACTCACTCACTCGCGACCATTTGGATACAAGTACAGATTCAAAACTAATCCTGAAATAAAACAGCACCAGACCACAATACAAATACAATAGACGAAAATAAAAAAAAATAAAAACATGTTTAATGTGGCCAAAAAATGAGAACATTTGATGGAAAAAGATTACAGATTGTTTTACTGTATGAATATTTGTTCATTGCCCATAAAGAAATAGTTTTTTTTTTGGTTTGCTCAAAATAATGTCTAATCCTCACTGCATTTGACAACATACTTTTGAGTCTTTATAGCTTTTAATATCTTGCTATATAATGCAGTCAGTCACATTCTGACATTTTAAGTGTGACATTTTTGTGGCAAATACATGCATTTATTTAATTGTTCAAGTTCTTTTGAGCAGTTTAGTTATTTAAAATATTCACAGTTAAATATTAAAAGCTAAAATATTTGAAATAATAATAGCTTTATTTCTTTTTTCTTTTCTAGTATCCCATCCTTTTGCATCAGTTTCAGTGCTCTAATTGTTAGACTTACATTTTCACGCAGGATTTTCTGCAGATCTGTTCACTATCAAATCGGTTTTTGTTGCCATTGCAACCTCCAAACCAGAACTGAGCACATGAATTGGCCTTAGGATCAAAATACCATTTAACAACATAGTCTCGACACGGACCAGGATCCAGAGGCTCCAGGCACCCCTCTTCTGCGAGAGAGAGAAGATTAAACGATTAAGATGGTTCTTTTGCTTACAGAATTTAGTTTACAGCTGAATGGGCATTTACCTGGAGTGAAATCGTTCTGTATGAGCAGCGTCGGGCCAGTTGGTCTGCGTGTCGGGTCAGTCCAGTATGTGCCCTTATATGGCCGGTCCAAAGACGTGAGGGAGAAATCTGGGAGGCGGTTCAGGTCATCCCTTTCCAAATATGGCGTTATGGTCCCGAAAATGTCCATGTCGTCTGATTTAGGATCATAGGGGAACACGCCAAACTCTCCAAGTGCATCTGGCTATTGATACAGTGTAATATTAATATCTCTTGATAACTAGAGTACAGTGCTTGCATAATAACAGTAAGCGTCAAATATCAAGCCATTATTATAGCCTTAAGATCTTTAGGCCTTGTTGTCTAATATAGTCCTGCAGTTAATAAATTATTTTATTTGCAGTTTTACAATATTATATATTGATAAAAATTGCATGCATAATAATAATTAGAAAAATATCGTAATAAAATTAAATACATTTATAATCAAAAAATGTTACGCTGATTGGATTTTTTTCTTTCGAATTTGGTTGGTTTTTGTTTCATTAAAAATTCAATAAAACATTATAACAAAAGAAATGCAATAAGAAAGTCAAACTGTAAGACATTTATTATGCAATTTCAGGAGCAGTGCAGTTGAAATAAAATAATAAATGTCTTGCAGTGTAACATTTAATTTCTAACCCTAACATCCTAGCTTTTTAGAACAAATATGCCACCTTTAGTTGGATGACGTTTTTTTAATATGGTTTTGTTAACTGAAGCATGTGTCAGTCATAAAAATTGCGTGTGTAATAATAATTAGAAAAAAATGTATAACAAAAAATTATAATAAAAATAAATGTATAATGAATGTCACACTGCTGGAATTTTATGTACTTGCACCCAACAGCAGCTCTTAAAACAAATATGGCGGCTTTAGATGGGTCATGAGTTTTTAATTATAATGGTCTTGTTGACCGAATTGTGTGTCACTTTACCTTAAAGCTGGAGGTAGTGCTGAATATTGATCCATCAATGTTCTCACAGACCTTCTGGAGCAATTTACTTTCCACATCTAGACCACAGAGACAGAAAACGTGAATTTAAGGCATTCAGTTTATATGTTTGAGGGTTTTTAAAGGTTAAGTGTATTATTTTTGTTAATGCTAAAATGCTTTCTTCTGTCTCAGTTCAATGTCCAAATATAAAGCCCTTCAATGGGATTCCTCAAAATAAAAATTCTGTCAGCATTTTCCTCCATTTCACGAGTTCGCATCTACATATAATTATTATGATAAAGATTATGCGTACTTGGCGTGCTGTCCGGGTGGAGGGCTCCGAGCTCGGAATTCTGCCCGAACCCAGAGTACTCCCCCCGTTGGTAAGAGTAGATGGAACTAGAGATGGAACTAAAAGAGAGGAGATGGGGTGGAGGTGGGATGCTGATAAACTGTCAAAGAACAAGTGGGGGTTCTGCTGATATTTATCTTGTCCTAGATTGATTACTGATTGCTCTCCACTGGTGCTGATTGGGTTAATTAACTGCACCTGCTCCTCCCGAACCTTGTTTATCAAACCTCATATAATGGACTTCAATGGGAACCAAACGGTTCAAGGTCCAAAAGACAGTTTCAGTGAAAACTGCAAACTGTCCAAAGGGCTTTAAACGATTCCAGACGATGAAAAAGGATCTTATCAAGCGAAACGATCGCTCATTTAAAAAAAAAAAATGACAAAGTTTAAGTTTTAGAAGCTCGACTTTTTCGTGTCATTTGGTTCATTCAACGAACGTAAATGAACGAGTTGACTCTGGAAAAGTTTCGTTCATTTTGATGAACGAGTTCGAACAGGAGAGTCATGAACGCGCATCACAGAACAGAGCAAGGCGAGCGTTTGAGCTTATAAAACGTAACTTTTTTATTCTTTTTTTTTTTTAAATAAGCGATCGTTTCGCTTGATAAGACCCTTATTCATTGTCTGGAATCGTTTAAAGCCCTTTGAACAGTTTGCAGTTTGCACTGAAACTCTCTTTTGGACCTTGAACCGTTTGGTTCCCATTGAAGTCCATTATATGGAGGAAAATGACATCTGGTTAGTGTAAATAGCCTTTTGCCAACAAATACATAGAGACTGAACTATCCATTTTTAATAGTGTGAAATGAATGCATTGCGACATACCAGGAAGCATTCTGAAGTCTTCTATAGAAAACACATGCTCCTCAGTGGGCGGGGATGCTATTGACTTCAGCTCCTCCTTAAAATCATCATAAATCGGGTCACTTTGATTAACCACTCCTATGGCGAACATGGTGATATTGGCTGAATGAGCCTCTTTGACCGCATCCTCCAGCTTCACCGTGTCACGGTGGTCCGTCTGGCCATCTGTAATAACCACCGCCACTTTCTTCACTCCAGGGCGAGCAAAGCGGAAGATCTCATTGGCCTTTCTGATGCCACTACCTGTGTAAGTGCCCTCTCCAATATAAGGCATCTTGCGCACAGCTGCTTTCACTCCATCACGACTTAACCTGTCTTGTATCCTTGTGACCACCAGGTTGATGTGGCTGTAGAGAACGACCCCTACACGCGTCACCTCCGGACTGACTGACACACGGTCGATCAAGGTATTCACAAAGTCTTTAATGACCTCAAAGTTCTCCGGGCCGACACTCTCAGAGCTGTCAATCACAAACACCAGCTCAAGGGGATTTACTCTGCATATCCGGCCACAACCTGAGAATCCACAATAAATCATCCAATATAGTTTTGGTGCAATTCATTATTACAAAGCTTTCAAATGTAGAAAAATATCTGCCATTTGAATACTTACCACAAATAGATCTGATTAGAGCGATTATTTCTTCTCTCTGCAAAATATAAATCTTTTTAACTGAGTTAAAACTTAAAATGAAAACAACGTAAATGAGCATTTCAGCTTTATAAATGCACACTAAAAAATGTTTTTTTTTGAAGTTGTAAACTGTATTATTATTATAGTATGTTTTACAAGAAAATAGCCAAAGTTTATTTATATAGCACCATTTATATAGCAACAGCTGACCAATGTGCTTTGCACTAAATCATAAGACATAAAACAAGACATAAGAAAAGGAGTGATTAAAAAAACCCATAGTACATCATATATGAAAGGCATGTAAATATTGTATATATCAGTGATATATCTAATTTATCTAATATATCTAATGTTTTTTGCAAAGACTTAAAAAGAAGAAGGAATGGTGCGGATCTAATCTGGATAGACGGACTGTTCCAAAGTTTAGTCTTCCCCTTTGCTGTAATCTGTATCTAGGAACAACTAAAAGTTTTTGTTGTCCCAAGTTTGAGGTAGTGTAGAAGTAATAAATTAGAGAGGTAGGAAGGCACCTGTGCATAGGTCTACCTAGCCTGGTAATAAGTGAAAATGGCTGACTAAATGAATGGGAGTCAATGGGATGCTAACAGCAGGTGCAGTTCTGCTACAATACGCCTTATTCACGGCAGCGCCATCTTTGATTTTTAATGAGAATGAAAGCGAGGCTGTGAGGGATAGACTTGCATCTCTTCAATGGGCTGTACTGTTAATTAATGTGTTTTCGGATTGTTCTGCTCATGAAACACTGGAAAGACATCTTTCAAAGAAATGTCAGTTGACAAAAAACTCCCGACAATGTAAGCTGTGGAAAATTGTAAGTAATCTAGAAGCTTTATTCAGCTTTTTACAGCGGATGCCATTGGAAACACGGTAAGTCTATCCCTCACAGCCTCATTTTCATACCTGTCATGGCGCTGCTCTGAATAAGGTCTATGGCGGCTCCCGCGAGGCTTCAACTTACGGCTGATGGATTACCCCCTTGGTACAGAAGCGAACTGAAATAGAGTGGAAGTACGAAGTCTGACGTACTCAGGCTAAGGTCTACCATCGGGAGGGCCAAAAAAGATAATCTTGGTTTTATTTTCATTTAGATTTAAAACGTTAGCAGACATCCACTTTTTTTAATATTGTTTAAGCAATCCAGCAAAGGCTCAAGTGAATTTTTTCCAGATCATTTGAGGAGAACATACATTTGTGTGTCTCCTGAGTAACAATGGAATGATACATCATGATTCGGATCCCTAAGGGAAAAAAGGGTAGGGCCCAGGATGGAGCCCTGAGGCACTCTCCAACAGAGGTTTGCAGCTGAGGACTCCGACGAGCCAAAACTGAGGGAATTTACGATCTTTCAAAAAGGAGCTGAACCAGTTTAATACAGTTCATTTCAACCCCACATCATGTTCAGTTCGAGATATAAGGATGTCATGGTCCACCATGTCGAATGCAGAGCTAAGTCTAGGAGCACTAAAATACAGTAACAGTCACCAGCATCAGTTGTCAAATAAATGTAATTTAAACCTTCAGTAAAGCAGACTGTAGTGTGGAGTAGAGCACAAGCCAGACCGAAACCTCTCATAGACAGAATTTAGATGAAGATAGGAAAGGTGTTGACATAAACCAACTTTTTCAAGAACTTTCTAAATTAAAGGTACTTTTAAAATGGGCCTATAGTTTTCAAGTATGGTGAGATTATGCAACAAATGCATAACATATTGCAGTTTAGAACTGCCATTTCTTTAGGTGCAAAACACTTTTACAGTATATATATAATAATTTACGTAAAAAATAATTTTTTGGACCTTATTTTTGGCAAGGTAGAAAATGAATTATTTCATCTGTGCACATACCGTGAGACCAGGTTCTCCTTTTGTTCCTGAATTACCCTGTGATTGTAAGAAGAAGCAACGATCAGGGTGTTAAATATAGAGATGTCGATTATAGTGTTGTCAGCTATCATAAAGCTCAACGATTAAAAAGCAAGTCTAGCATGAAGAGTTTTTCAACTAATCAAAATTTTCTCAGTTCTTCTCACCGGTGGTCCTGTAAATCCTGATTCTCCCGGGTTTCCTCTGTCCCCTTTGCGTCCTTGTGCTCCAGGTAACCCACGATCCCCCTACAAACAGAACAGTTACATTATGAAAACATGATGTAATACACCATTTTTGTAATTGCACACAAGCATCTGTCATCTGATGATGACATTTTTATTTTGGAGTGAAGGATTCCTTTCATGCCAACTCTATGAAATATGAATGCATGACTGTGGTTACAAGACTCTCCTCACTTTTTGTCCTGGCAGACCCTCTCCAGGGGACCCTCTTGGCCCCTGTATACCCTGATATCCAGGCTCACCCTGTACAAAACAGAGTTAAGTGCATGTGAATTCAACAGTTTCAGTATTTCACAACTGTACAACACACTGTAATGTGTTCAGGAATACTGTATCCTCCTGATATGCCTCCGATTCCTGTTACCGTTGGTCCTTGTATGCCTTCTCCTGGTATACCTGGAGGACCAGCTGGACCAGTCTGACCAATGGAGCCCTGCAGACCACAAAAACACTTCTGATCTAACCTGAAAAGAATCACATTCTGCTTCAAAAAATTAAGCCTGTTTTTAGGACCATTTAGGAAGACCAAGATTCATGAATTTCACCATTGAACATATCTACAAACACAAATCTAATGACTCGTCCAACAGTGTATTTTGACATCCCTAGTCCATCTGGTTGATTGGATCACCATCTATTTTTGCTGATGAGATCAGGACTGGGGAATTTCTGGTGACAAGCTGAATCCTGTACTTCATTTACATGCTTTGTTTCAGAGTGTCTCCACCTCTATGTAATCCCTCGCCCTTGAAAGATAGATAAACTTCCATTTATACTGCTTTAGACTTGATGAATGACTGCATCTACCTGCTGAAGAGACAACCCGAGTCTCCTGGTCTGAGTTGCCTACACTTTAGAAGAAAAAAGTTCACAACACTTAAAATGCAGTTCACCGCACCATTGTTGCTCCAGTAAACTTGCACAACATTCTTGGACGAATTGCATGCTGGTCTCTATAACTCTCCATTTTCATGCACCTAAACGTGATGCTGAACACAGCGAAGTGTGATTGGTCGCTTTACATCTCGGTCATACATCTCTTGTCACTGCTATGGAGTCCAGACCTTCTGCCGGCAGTCTGAAGTTCTGGCTATGCAAGAATAATATGTATTCTACGTACAATATATGTAGTTTAAAATATATTTCCCACCTTTGGGCCCACCTGACCAAGACCTGGTGCTCCATCAGGCCCTGGCCGACCTGGAGGGCCTCGATCCCCCTGTGACCGAAAACATCAATTATTCAAATGCTCTAATAGAATAATATATATTTTTTTAATGATTCAAATTTTTATATTTCCTGAAGAAAATGGGAGTGATCCAATCAATCACCTTACCTTTGGTCCAGGTAAACCTGTACCCTCTGGCCCAGTCTCTCCTGTAAGACCTGGAAGACCTTGTGCCCCCTTTAGATCACATGAGCAACACACAGATATATATATATATATATAGTCTGTTATAATTCAATTTGGTATGTCAGATTAAATACAAACTGTACAGTAACTATCTATGAGTTGCATGAGTAATGTTGTTTTATTTACAGGTGGGCCAGGATAGCCCTCTCCCTTCAGCCCTGGAGGTCCAATGGGTCCTTGTAACCCCATTTCACCCTAAAGACAAACAAAATTGATCATCTGAGTCACAAAAGAACAGTGCAGATTTCAACTGGGAAGTCACTCCTACCTTCGGCCCTGCAATACCTATCCCTGTTTCTCCGGCAAGTCCTGATGGACCAGCTGGCCCTGGATCTCCCTACAGGAAGATGAACAATTGAACATGGAATGAGATCTCCTGGTATGGAAACACATACACATACAGTAGCTCCCAAAAAATGTAAGCCACAATAAAAATGTATCAGTATTTTTCTTTTAACTTGAAATGGAAGTAAATTAACCTTTTGTCTAATTAACTTTTTTGTTAATTTTCATGAATCATTCATGATTGCAATTGTTTATTTACTAAGTCAGTCTTTCTGGAGTGAAATTATTTTTAAGATGTTTCAATGTTTAATGCCTGACCATGCCAAGTAAGCAATGTTCCTGGATCAACTTTCCTGTCCAAAAACTTTGTCCGACTCCTAACCCTACCCATACCATGTCCCTAAAATCAGAGGTGAATAAGAATGGTGTAGAAGCCCTTAAGCCTTTTTGTAAGTCTAAACTTGACATTAACTGTAAACCTATCAGTCAAATCTCATTGGTTGATTGGAATATTGTTTCAGGATCACCAAGGATGTTGATCCAGGAACATGTTCTCACATTCACCGTCCATTGTGTCTTCACTGTGACCATGATTTTTGCTTTTTATTTTATTTTCTTTTACAGATAAAGCTTGATTTCTTTAACATACCTTAGCTCCGGGTATGCCTCTTCCCGAAGGCCCAGGAACACCTGGAAGTCCAACATTCCCTGGTTGTCCCTATTTTAATTGAACGACAAAGAACATTCAGAGAACAGCGGTAGTGACACATGGCTTTTCTTAACATTATTTTGTGTTTGTTAACATGAAGATGTCAAATGAGTTGTTTTCACCTTTCCTCCTATTGGCCCAACTGGTCCCATTGGCCCTGGTGGGCCTCTGGGGCCCCTCTCCCCCCGATCCCCCTGTTGAAGGAGGATACAACCTATTTAATACATAAAATCATATATTTTTTAATATAATAATTTTAGTAGGCATGACACCTTCTCTCCTGGTTGACCTCTTCCTGGAGGTCCGTCTTGTCCTTTGGGTCCTGGTAGGCCTAAATCACCCTAAAATCAACAAGATTTCACATAGTATATTACAAGATATGCCCACTAAATGTTTTGGATAAGTGATCCACCACTAACATGCTATTATGGGCACCTTGGGTCCCATGGTTCCATCTTCTCCTGGTACACCTGGTTCACCTTGTAAACCTCGTAATCCTTGCTCACCCTACGGCATCAACCCAAACACAACTCTGATTTCATGATTTGCTACTATATTCTGTTTTTTTTTTAGGTCATGTCACCACAGTTTAGTTGAAACGACAACCTACTTTGGGCCCTGGTTCTCCGATTCCTCTTTCTCCAGTGGCTCCAGGATCTCCAGGGAATCCTTGTTCTCCCTAAAAGAGCAGACAAAACAAAGTTATATATCCTTCAAAGGTTTGAAATAATTTTTTTTTTTCCATCTTGTTCATCAATGTTGAATTTATTTGAATTGCAGTAATATTGTGAAATATTATTCCATTTTCAAATTGAAAAAGTGAATCAAATTGATGTAATTTATTCCTGCGATCAAAGCTGTATTTTCAGCATCATTACTCCAGTCTTCAGTGTCACATGATCCTTCAGAAATCATTCTAATATGATGGTTTGCTGCTAAAGAAACATTTCTATTTTTATCAATTTTGAAAACAGCTGCGCCGCTTTATATTTTTGTAGAAATCATGATTTTTTTTCAGGATTCTTTGAAGAAATAAAACAGCATTTATTTTAAATAGATTTTTTGTAACAATATAAATGTCTTTAATCGAATTTCTTTGCTGGAAAAAAGTATCAATTTCTTTCTTTCTTTCTTTGTAAAAAAAAAAAAAATCGAATAGAAGTGCAGTCTTACCTTTATACCCATGAGTCCTATCCCAGGATTCCCTCTTTGACCAGGAGGACCAGCGGGTCCCTGACTCCCCTTTCGATATTAAGATGGAGGCGACAGTTAAATGTTTCCAATTGCTTCGAAACATAATTCTCAACATGATCATATTGAATATAAATATAAAACAAACTAAACGAATTAGGGATTTGTTTAAATCACTAACACTATAAGCATGTATTGAGTACATGAAACATGCCTATAGCTCCAGAAATATTGGTATAAAAATAACATAACAAAATACTTTCTCTCCTTGAATTCCCCTGCCAGGCATTCCTATTGGTCCAGGTGATCCAGGAGGTCCCGCGTTACCCTAAGAGGATAGATATAAGGGCTAAATTTTAAGCAAAATGGCTATTTATATGGCCAACGTAAATCTCACACAACTGCACCGTACCTTTTCACCTCTGACTCCATAACCTGGGGGTCCACGTTCACCAGTAGGGCCGACATAGCCACGGTCACCCTAGGTATTTGAGTGTGAGTAAACTTCATATGTTTTCTTTCAGAAAAGGTCAGAGAGCCTATCTATCGAAAAGGGAATGACCTTAAAAAGAAGCAGGAACAGCAACGGTCTCTGCTCACCTTAGGGCCAGGGAGTCCCTCGCCTGGAGCTCCTGGGTTCCCCTGTGATCCTGGTAAACCCGGAGGACCCTTCATTGATGCATGTATCAATATCTCATTATAATCTATAATTGCATGTTTAAAGTCATACAAGAGGCTGTTTTTACTTACAGATAGACCTGGCTGACCAATGCCAACCTGACCTGGAGGACCTGTTCTTCCAGGGTTTCCTTTGTCGCCCTAAAAGAAATCATTTGTAATATAAATGTCTTTACTTTTACTTGTGATCAATTAATGCATCCTTGCTGAATAATATTAAAACAAATCTTACTGACCCACTGCTTTTTTGTCTAATATGAACTGAGAGAAGTCCTGTTGAGAACAACCAGCTGAAAAGTTTACCTTTGGTCCAGGGAATCCAATTCCAATATCTCCCGGCGGGCCAGACGCACCAGACGGCCCTCGGTCCCCCTAGGAACAACCTGAAGGTCAGTCATTCATTTGGATGTCATTTTCTTATAAATTTCAAAGTTCACATGAATTTAAAGCTGGTACTACTGCAAAATGCCATAAACCTCAGTCATCTCGAAGATGCATTGCAACTTTTGGCTTAATATACAAAACATCCTATTTGCGTGAGGAATGGTGAAAGGGTTCAGTACACACTCTGATCACCCAACGCATTCACTTGTGTATGTTCCAAATGACATTTACAGAGCATAAAGACACCCCTTGTGTCAGACAGTTTTAAGAGTTTATGCATTTGAATGCGCAATTATATATTTGTCGGATCAAAGCACTCTTTGTTAGAATTTCCAGACCAAACGTGAGAGGCACAATCTGCATTTAAACATGGAAAGATCTCTACAATGTGAATTCTTTATCACCCAGAATTATGTCTCTATTTAAGGCACAAATATCATTTACAGTCATCTCCCTTGAAAGAAATGGAAGATATGATCATACTTTGGGTCCTCCTTGACCCTCTTGCCCCTGGTCCCCTGGAGGCCCTTTCAGACCCTGGTAAAATGATGAAGAAATATGTTAAAATTGGTCTTGCACTCTCATGCAATAAACAATTTAAACAATGAATCAGCCATATGCCTATAATAAACCATAAGTTGGCACTTTTACTTATCTGTTGGTTCTGAAGGACCTGACCCAGTCAATCTGAGCTATTCAGTCTCTTCACTAATCCCACAGTACAAAGTCGTCCTCGGAAAAAGAATAATATCCTGCAAGCCTGGATTCACTCCTTTACATGTGTATATTAGCATAGGATTACGAGCGATCTGCCGATCACATTCCATAAGTGCAGAGCGGGGAGACAGCCGCGGCCTGCCATGATCACTGCGTTTATGTGATAAGACATCATTTCTATATTCACTTTCTCACTTTAAAAAAAAAAAAAAAAAAAAAAAAATATATATATATATATATATATATAAATTTAAAGCTGAGTTTAAATTTAAATTTAAAGCTAAATTCAAGATATATATATATATATATATATATATAAATCACTAAATTATTTTGGTCTGAAATCACCCTAACACAATTCACTCCTTAAATAGTGCTGTTATACACACTTCTTAAAAGTAAAAAAAAAAATTGCTTTTGTTAATGTTTTTCAACAGTGGCATAATTATTAAACATTATACATTATTACTGCTATTAAAATGCTATTTGTGTTTATAGTAATATGATTGTATGGATGAAATAAATATTTAGCATGTGTTTCATGTGTTCAGAAAAATACAGGATGGTATGAATAAGACCACCCAATATTAATAATATCATGTAAATACATAAATTCATGAAAAATCTAAGACTGTTTGAATTCATAAAGTAATTAATTTGAGTTATTAAGTTTTTGTCCAAATATAAATTGAAGCTTGATGTGTGTTCTACTGTTAAATATTATGCATGCCATAAAGTTATCTTTACTCAAGAGTCTGACAGAATTAAATGAAATAAATGTAATATGTCATATGTAAAGATATGTGTGTACTGTGCCTGCTCTCCTCTAGGGCCCCTCGGTCCTGGAGGCCCTTCAGTGCCCTGTGAAATGACACATAAAACTTTGATCAATCATACGTGGCTATTTCAGAGCAATGGTAATTCGTACAATAGAGAAGACTTACTTCATGTCCCTTTTGCCCTGGTGGTCCACAGTTACCTTGATCCCCCTAAAACATGACTCAACACTTCAGTTATTATATTGTGGATCAGAATGAGTGAGAACAGTGAAAGTAGCATTAATGAAGCTGAGCAGTTACTCTTAAACACTCTTAAAATAAAGGTTCAAAAAGGATGTTTTCACAGCGATGTCAGAAGAAATAACCAAATCAAAAGTTCTTAAATGTGGACGGAACATCTTCATAATCAAAATAAATTTGTTTCCACTATAAAGTACCATACCATTTGTGCAATGAAAAGGGTTCCATGGATGTTAAAGGAGCTGGATGTAAGAAATGTATATCAAATAATCATAAAAGGGGCCTGATATGTCAATAGACATTAATAAGTCATGTTCATTTCTAATACTTATATCACTGACAACAGTAGTCCGGCAAGGACAGTGAAGTTGCAGTCAACTGATGTTGATGTTGTCATGTTGTGTTTTCGCCCTCCACCGATCTACCAATCATAAAGTCAGTAGTGTTGCAACACCACTCTACAGTAATTCGAAAGTGATTGCAGTACCAGTTTTGGCCACAATCTTACATACAGCTCCTTTAAATCTTCTTCATGGAACCATCAAAGCCATGAACCTTTATTTTTCTGAGTGCTTTCTAATTTGCATGCAAATGATTTTGCGACCTTATTAGATAGTCTTGGGACTGGTTAGGACAACGCTATTAACAAATGAATCGCAACAACCCAAATGCATATGCAACCCAGATGTTTTACCTTATCACCTTTGAACCCAGATCTTCCCTGTGGATGAGGAACCAGGAACAAGAACCGTGTTGGTCAGAGAGTCAGAGATAAAATGTATAAACTGACCCTATGAAGATGTGATGTACCTCTGGACCATTGAATCCTGGAAGACCAGGTGCTCCTGTTTCCCCCTGTAAAATCAGTCAGAGCAGTGCATCAACAACAATACACTACAGTCTAATCATCTTTAAACACATATGGTATTTTCACTCTCACCCTTGAGCCTTTTGCACCAGGCGGTCCTTCATAACCTTGCTCTCCTTTTTCACCCTAAAAATAGAGCTGTCTTCATGAACGCCACAAGTGAAGGAAAATGGCCTCAATTCAATCCCAGCAATACTCACGGAAGCTCCTGGAAGACCTCGTTCACCTTTCTCACACGAACACGCCGGTGGCCGTGGGCACTGGCAAGACAAATACAACCGGTAACTTTGCAATCAGCATTGTTCAAGTCCAGTTATTGATGGTGTGATATGCTTTGCTTAAAGGGATAGTTCACCCAAAAATGAAAATTTCAAAGTGGTTCCAAACCTGTATGAGTTTCTTCTGTTGAACACAAAAGATGATATTTTAAAGACTGTTGGTAACCAGACAGTTGACAGTAGCCATTGACTTCCATGGTATTTTTTTTTTTCTCATACAGATTTGGAACAACTTGAGAGTGAGTAGTGATGACAAAATTTTCATTTTTGGGTGAACTATCCCTTCACTCTAAAAAGGCTAGGTTGTTTTAACCCAACTTTTGGTCAAATATGGACAAACCCAAACGTTGGGTTAAAAATGTAATGTAAAAATTTAACCCGATGGCTGGGTTTGTCCATATTTGACCCAAAGTTGGGTTAAAACAACCAAGCATTTTTTAGAGTAACCATGTCAGGTCACGTATAGCAGTTTTATATTGTTGCAAATCATGATGTTAATGTTTATAATACATTAATATTTTCATGCCATATTTTCAGATTAAGCAGATTTGAGCTGGACATTAAAGGGATAGTTCACCCAAAAATGAAAATTCTGTCAGTATTTACTCACCCTCATGTTGTTCCAACCCCGTAAGACCTTCGTTCATCTTCGGAACACAAATTAAGATATTTAAGATATTAAGATCGCTCCTGCATACAGTCCATAGGCTTCTTGAGGTACTGGCTCTTGCTGTCCCCGAAAAGTCATTAAAGACATCGTTAAAATAGTCCAAGTGACTACAGGGGCTCAATCTTAAGTTTATCAAACGACGAGAACACTTTTGTGCGCAAAAAAACAACAAAAATAACGACTTTATTTCAACTATTCACTTCCTTCTCCATGAGCCTGTAAGTCAGTTAACGTAGTGTGATTGCGTAGAGCTACGTCACACGTAGGCTCACTATTCGCCGACGCTGGTCATGTGTGTGTGATGCGTGTGACGTACAATAACAGAAGCTTACGCTATTAAACTAGTAACCTGACTCGCGCAGAGGGAGAAATAAACGAATAGTTGAAATAAAGTCGTTATTTTTGTTGTTTTTTTTGCGCACAAAAGTGTTCTCGTCGTTTGATAAACTTAAGATTGAAAACGATGTCTTTAATGACTTTTCGAGGACAGCAAGAGCCAGTCCCTCAAGAAGCCTATGGACTGAATGCAGGAGCGATCCTAATATCTTAAATATCTTAATTTGTGTTCCGAGGATGAACGAAGGTCTTACGGGGTTGGAACAACATGAGGGTGAGTAAATACTGACAGAATTTTCATTTTTGGGTGAACTAACCCTTTAATATAGTTCACATTTTTCGACGACAAGCAATCAAGCAGTTGAGATTTGATTTGGCTTGATTGTATGTTGGCATGTACTTGCACTGTATACACACTTATACCAGAGGTTGGACAATGAAACAATATAGTGGCCAATAGTGTTGGAGCCTACAGTATATATACGCCTCGTCTCCACTGATTTACATTCATCAGAAAGAGCTGAGTGTGAAGGTTGAATTAGCAGAGCAATAGCACACAACTGTACATAAACTATTGCAATCCACACAACATAATGGAAGATATATCAGAGTTCAAAAGAGGACAAACTGTTGGTGTCGGCATAAACCACAGAGGACGAACCATATTTATTAGTATCTATTAGTGTATCTGGGTAAAGTTGGACACAACAGTTGTATATTTAATTATTAGTTATTCATTTAATCCACTTCAGTTATCAATTCATTATGAGGGGATATTGAGAATTTAGGGACCACAATGGAAATAAGTCTTCGGGCATTATTGTGTTATCCCTGACTACTTTTGTATTTGTTTTTTTTAATGTATGCAACAGTTTCTTACTGGTCTTCATATTTTTATATTTAAGTGGTCAAATAAATCTAATCTAATCCAATCTAATTATGAAACCTGTGTGGTTTCAATGCCACTTGGCTATTTTCCTCTAATGCAATGACATTTAGACTTTAAAGTGTCTGAATACTTTGAGGGTCACTCTTCTTGAAAGTTCAGTACTTACTTCATTATTTGCAATTATTTCCTGAAAAAGAAAATGAAAAGAGAAATAATTAGAATACAAATTAATAACAGTATTAAAACAAGTCTAATTTATCGCATGACATGATAAGCATTTTTATGCATTTCTACGAGACCCGATCACAGACAGTGCTTGACATTTCCCGAGCGGTGTTTATTGGGAAAATCCCTCACACACAGATTTGATTCACCCATTGATGTGGGAACCATGCTTCAGGACAGAAGACCAAACACTAGTTACTGTATTTGGATCTCAAACCCTCACAAATAGAAATTTTTAGAGCATCTATTCTCTGACCCAAAATAACAGCAACACTCCCTTTAGGCTGTAAAAAAAAGAAAGATAGAGTTTTTTCTTGCATCAAAACTAAATGAATGAAAGTATACTTACAATAAAAAGGGAAATAAGAAAGTAATATTTATATAATAGTAAGAAATATTCTAATCACGAGCTGCTGCAGGAGCCGTTCCTCCAGTCTGGGGTCAGTGAGGCTGTGGGAGTATTGCAGGGCTGGACTGCTCGCCACCAACCGCAGCTTGGCACTGTCCTTCGCCAGGTTTGATAAGCCTATGGTGAAGATCTTAATGTTGTGACCTTTGGCCTCAGCGACCGCCGCCATGATGTCAGGATTCCTCGGATGGTCGATGCCGTCTGTCATGAGCAGGGCCACCCGGACACTCTGCTCCTTGGTCTCGCTGGTGAAGAGGTGGGTGGCGTTGGAAATGGCATATGTCGAATACGTTCCCTGACCGATGTAGATGGCGTCTGCCGATCTACTCACGAAGACGTCAAAGTCCTGCCAGTCTGTGAAGCGTTGGTCGATGTGCACTGAACTGCTGTAGTAGAGGAGCGCCAGACGAGTCTTCAGATGCCAGTCAGAAACCTGCATCTGAGCCACACGCCCGCTGAAGGAGCGCACGAATGCTTTCTCTCGGTCGAACAGAAAGCCCTTCGCACTCTCTGAGCTGTCCAGGATGAATGCGATCTCGAGTGGACATACTAGCTCTGAAACGAGAGAGGGGACTAGGCATAAACTCTGTAAGCACACATAAAAGTAAAACCGTAAATTTTACGGTAAAAAACGGCAGCTGTGGTTGCCAGAACTTTACCGTCAAAAATACGGTAACAACATTATTGGTTTTCCAGACTTAACTTAAAATTTACAGTAATAAACCGTATTTCATTATCTGATATAATGTTAGTTTACCAACCTATTGAAGAATTGATATCTGTTTTGAAACATTGTAATACACTGACAACCAACAATCATCACAGTAATGATGAGAATCACATGATCAATCACAGCTCATCACAAGCAGTTTTCCATAAGAATATTAATACTTATAAAAAAAAAGTTGCAGTGTCATTCACACAAACATTAAACACCATCATGGTAACACACAAAAAATGCAATAAACATTAATTTAACAACATTAAATGTAACATAAAACCCCAATGTACACTGATTAGAAAAAAAAAACAAAAAAGAAAACTATGAGGAACCATAGTTATTTCAACAAAAATGCATAAAATGTGAAGTATCACACAAGGGAATTGTGGGAATGTCAATTTATGTTTTTTCACTGTAAATTATACAGTTGTTCTTTTTCACTTTTTTAAAAAATTGTAAATTTAACGGGATTTTACAGTAAAATTACATTAAATGTACCATGAGATCTATCACAGGTATTTATACGGAAACTTTCTGTTAACCAATTAACAGTTTTGCTCTGTAGCATTTTTACCGTTCTTTATTTAAAATCACGATTATTTTTTGGAATAACATCCATGGAGCATTTCCATTACACAAAAGGCTCTTTAGATTATTAAAATGTAGTACATGCTGACAAAATAAAATAATTATTCACTGAAAGGTTATTTTTTTTATTGGAACAGTTTAATGAACCTTTTTAGACAAAATCTAATCAAAAAGTTTGCATATGTGTTTTGTTGAGTATACACAAGGCTTTTATGGCTCATACAGAATGAGCTCATTCTCGAGGAGGAAAAACACATCGATATTTTGCAATTTGGTTCATATGCTGATATTTATTTGGGGAGAAAAAGTAATATAATAGCTTGCAGTGTAAATCAATGAGATTTTTAACAGTATAAGTGACTATTACACTTTTTTTTAATCCTGCAATGCAATACAATGATTATTGAGAGATGAACAACGTTCTTCAAAATCCTGATGGATCATATTTGATACTAACTAAACATGATTTTTTTGTTGTTTTTATTTTAGTTTCTTCAGTCCAACAAGTGTTTATCTTTAAATATTACCAACTATATACATTATTATACGTTTACTTTAAAAAAATGATTAAAGATTTCTGAGCAAAAAGACGCGTGAACCACAAACTAAAGATGGACTTTTTTCAATCACACTAAAAGCTACTTTAGAGACGATCAATCAGACAACAGAAGGCAAACTTTTGATCATGTTGATCATTTAGAGAACTTAATCAAAATATCGCACATTGGGCTTTATAGAGATAAAGATCCAAACGCATCAGACCACTAGTGAAAATAATTTAATTTGGTCTTTTTTTGTAACTAGATCAAATTTATTCCAAATTATATTATCCGCATTATCTTTTGGACCACTAGTCATCTTTTCCCAGGAGAACAGTCTCCATTTAATCTCATTGTAGTCTTGGAGAAACAATTGAGAGTAAAGATATCTAACTTTTACTTGTACATGCAAAGACTTAGTCAACACAATAAATGATGCACTGGAACTGAAGAAGACGCTAATGCGTTTACCATTGTCCTGTTTTGTGGTGAGGTTGTTCGGTGATTGTCTTCTGTTCTGGCATCTGGCCGCAGGTACAAGCAGCCAAAGCAACAAGCTCAGAAAAAACACTTTGGCCATGCTTTCATTCATGCCTCACCTAAGACAGTCGAATAAAAAAATTCTGTGCATCTTAAAAATCTGTTTATGGTGCATTCATTATACAAAGAATAAATGCACAAAGAGTTGTTTGAATACACACTTTTTAGATGTTCAAACACAACATGGTCCTCAGATATTCTTAAAAAAACATACTGTCTAGTGTACTGAGTCAGAATGTGCATAAAACACATTTTAAACAAAGACCAATTCAAATCCACAAATACATGCAACAATGTTAAATGTGTATTTTTAACATTATTTATCAATTTTTAGTTTTGTTATTAATGCTAAAATGAGGGTTTAAGCAGGAACATCGATTAGAACAATAATATTAAAAAGGATAAAGCACTTACCTAGCCTGTTATGCAAATATCGGGAGTATCCACGTGCTCATGTCTTCTGTGTGGAGAACTTTCTGTTCTGACTGAGTCACTTCAGTTCTGCACTGAACATCAGCCCAACAACACAGACCCAACAATCTGATGCCTGACTGAACACACACACACACGCACTTCTCTCGAAAGGACATCAAATGTAACCAACACAATTTTTATTTTATTTTATTTGTTTTTATTTTAATTGTTATTTATATGTTATTAAATATGTATTTATAGCCTCTCTGTTGTATTATGGTATAAAAATATATATATATTTTTTTTGATTTTTGTGATTTAATGTGCATGTGTTAAACAGGTTCTCTCCAATATGTTCAGTTCTGTTTTGGAGATTAATGCTGAGAGATTGTTTGGAGTATTATAACATTTCCCCCAAAAGCTTCTGATTTCTTGACAACAATTCACAAAAACAACGTGAAATCTGGAAAACATTCAGGAACCTCCTGAGATCTGACTCATCTCAAGGATTGGCTTCACCCTTATTTTTCCACAGCATCCACATACACGTCCTCATATTGTTTAAAACAAAATATTAAATAAACAAGGATTGAGAGACCTCTTCTGTGGTGTGTGCATGAAGTATTAGCTATAGCATTGGCTCGCTGTATGTATGACCTGAAAGCATTGTTGTATTTTGAGCACAAATAAAAGACATATAAAATTTGAGGCAATTGTTTCATTTTGCCTGAAGAGTCAGAGGTTTTCTGTATATGTGGGTTGAAAAATTGGTTTTATGTTTAAGGTTTTGAGAAAGTGAGTGATGGTTTCAAGAAATGTGTTTTAGCAATTCAGAAAAACTGTAATACATTTCCACTTTTCATGAACAAACCTTGATTTCAACTGTAGAGGGCAGTAAAGTTTAGAGCTCTAAAGTTTAGAGAAATCCAAATCCTTTGCAAGCCCATTACTACGGAGGCGTATTGCATTCACTTGAAGAAAAAAAAATCTACTCTGTTTTTCTGAATTAACGAGTTAATTTTTCATGAGAATTTTTTTTTGCTCTGTTTTTCTGAATTAATGAGTTAATTTTTCATGAGAAAAAAATGTTTGCTCTGTTTTTCTGAATTAACGAGTTAATTTTTCATGAGAACATTTTTTTTGCTCTGTTTTTCTGAATTAATGAGTTAATTTTTCATGAGAAAAAAATTTTTTGCTCTGTTTTTCTGAATTAACGAGTTAATTTTTCATGAGAAAAAAATTTTTGCTCTGTTTTTCTGAATTAATGAGTTAATTTTTAATGGAATTTTTTTTTTTTTGCTCTGTTTTTCTGAATTAATGAGTTAATTCAGAAAAACAGCAAAAATAAATTTTCTCATGAAAAATTAACTCATTAATTCAGAAAAACAGAGCAAAAAAATTTTTTCTCATGAAAAATTAACTCATTAATTCAGAAAAACAGAGCAAATTTTTTTTTCTCATGAAAAATTAACTCATTAATTCAGAAAAACAGAGCAAAAAAAATTTTCTCATGAAAAATTAACTCGTTAATTCAGAAAAACAGAGTAGATTTTTTTTCTTCAAGTGAATCCAATACGCCTCCGTAGTAATGGGCTTGCAAAGGATTTGGATTTCTCTAAACTTTAGAGCTCTAAACTTTACTGCCCTCTACAGTTGAAATCAAGGTTTGTTCATGAAAAGTGGAAATGTATTACAGTTTTTCTGAATTGCTAAAACACATTTCTTTTTCTTCACATTTTTTTTCTTCAAGTGAATGCAATACGCCTCCGTACATTTCTGTGACTTAAGAAAACAATTATGCGTTCGTAAATCATAATTATGACTACGAGATGAAGAAAAATGAATAATAATAATAATAATAATAATAAAACATAAATTACGAGATATAAATACTTAGCCTAATTATGAGATTAAAGGTCATCATAATTATCAAAAAAAAAACTACTTTTCATTTCACAATGAATTTGTATCTCTTAATTTTCACATAGTATGTCTTAATTTAAATCGTTATCTATTAACGTTTTCTTCTACATTACTTTATGACTATTAATGTGTCGGAAATGATCTTCCGATAATCTTTTATTATTTTAGGCAGGCTTTATTTTATTTTAATTTTTTAGATTATTTTTTTTTTTCAGCTTGGTTATTTGTCCTGGAGCCTTGAGATATTTGAATGAGCCAAGTTAGATCGCTGTCGCAGATGTCTGTTATATTCTTTAGATGCAGTGGGACTTTTATTTTGTCAGCTTCTGTCACACTGTTTACATTCTGCACTGCTTCCGACTTCCCGCGACGCAAACAAACTTCAGCATGTTTGCTCGTCAAATGTAAGTTTATATTTATCAAACGCTTATGAATATAGCTGTCATTTATTTATAGCTCAACGCATGGTTTATTCTGTGTCTTTATAAGGGGCTGTGTCTGTCATTAAGTTACCTGTTTTCGGTCTAGAAAAGGTTGTGTTGGTAGTTTAGCTGTAGCTGACCGGCTAACTCGCAGTTACTGAAATCGAGTCATAAGAACATTAAATCACACTTAGCTTTTCACTGGTTTGTCAAATAGGTTTGACTATATCATATTTACATATTATCACGAAGAGCTAGAATCATGATATGTAGAATGGATCTTTCTAATGTTTTATTTTATTTAGTCTTTATTATATTTATTATGGCTTTAACAATCCACTTGAACTTTGGTAATGTCTTGGTAATATTTGTTTTCATAACCTTTAGCTTCATGTTCAACTTATTTTTTTTAACCCTTTGATGTATGAATTATTAAATCACAAAGAGAAACAAATTCTTAATGTCTAGTTGTACAATGTGTAACCATTACGCCCATAATAATAAAACAATAATAAATTATTGTAATATTTTTATTACCTGATTTATTTTATTATGACGTTTGCTTACATAATAACAATACCATTTATGATGATAATTATAACTAATAATTTATTGTGATTATTATAAATGTATTATTGTGATTTATGTAATCAAAAGTTACATTGAACCTTAATAGATGATATAGGCTAACTCTCTCTCTATGAATATGTATTGATATGTATCCATAACTAACTGAAGCAGGTGAGGTGTGCACTGTATAAATTAGATGCTTTATAATTTTGCAGGTATCAGCACTGAAGAAGCCACTGTCCTGCCATGTCGAGTGGCTATAAGCCAGATATCCTGTGGTCCCCCCATCACGCAGACCGCTATGTGATCTGTGACAATGAACTCAGTCTGTATCGGATCGGACCCGCAGGAAGCTCAGAAACCAAAGCTGGCGCCCTTCCTTTATCCGAGGAGACGGCGGCCACGCTGCTGGCCATCAACTCCGACACCCCGTATATGAAATGTGTGGCTTGGTATCCCAAACATGAGCCGGAGTGTTTGCTGGCGGTGGGACAGGCCAATGGCCGAGTCGCCCTGACCAGTCTGGGACAGAGCCTCAACTCTAAATGTAAGGAGCTGATGGGTAAGGAGTTTGTGCCCAAGCACGCCCGACAATGCAATACGCTTGCGTGGAACCCGGTGGACAGTAATTGGTTGGCGGCTGGTTTGGATAAACATCGGGCTGATTTTTCTGTCCTGATATGGGACATCAGCAGTAAGTTTTCCCCCGAAGCAGTGCCCGCCGAGAAGGTTCGCATGTCCGGGGACTCAGACTCGGGGCCAGTGGTGACCAAACCACTATACGAGCTGGGTCAGAACGACGCCTGTCTTTCTCTCTGTTGGCTTCCGCGCGAGCATCAGAAGTGTCTCTTGGCCGGCATGCACAGGAATCTGGCCATCTTTGACCTGCGCAACACCAGCCAGAAGACGTTTGTGAACACCAAGGCCATCCAGGGCGTGACGGTGGACCCTCACTTTCAGGATCGTGTGGCATCCTTCTACGAAGGCCAGGTGGCTATCTGGGATTTGCGCAAGTTTGAAAAACCAGTCTTCACTTTGACCGAGCAGCCCAAACCTTTGACTAAAGTGGCTTGGTGTCCCACTCGCATGGGTCTGCTAGCGACGCTCACTCGGGACAGCAACATCATCCGGCTGTACGACATGCAGCACACGCCCATGCCGTTCGGCGACGAGGTGGAGCCCACCATCATCGAGCGGAGCGTGCAGCCTTGCAGCGAGAGCATCATCAGCAGCTTCGCCTGGCATCCGTCGGCACAGAACCGCATGGTGGTGGTGTCGCCCAACCGGGTCATGAACGACTTCACCGTCTTCGAGCGCATTTCGCTGGCCTGGAGCTCCACCACTTCGCTGATGTGGGCGTGTGGGCGGCACCTCTACGAGTGCGCAGAGGACGCCGGACAGGGCTCAGCCGCTGCCGAAAAGGACATCGCCACTAAGATGAGGGAGCGAGCGCAGTCCCGCTATGGCCACGACACCGTCCAGGTGTGGCGGAACCACTTGCTGGCCGGAGGAGACGACCCGCAGCTGAGGTCGCTCTGGTACACACTCCATTATATCCTTCACTGCAACCCTGTGGCATTACAGGGGACCTTTGAACCTTTCAAAGCGCATGTCTGAAGTTGTTGTTGAATGTCATGGAAAATGTCTTGTTGTTTCTAGATGTTTTGCTACTTTTTTTACTTTAATATTATAATTATATTTATGTCATTATGACTTTTTATTACATATAATCTATTATATATTATACATATATTATAAATTATAGTTAATATAATTAATATATATATATATATATATAAATTATTATAAGTATAATATAATTATATAATATATTATATATATTATATTTATATTAATATAAATATATTATTATTTTTATATATAATTATGTTACATGTATTATATATTATATAATATATATATATATCACACAATACATTTATTATTAATAAATATATATAATAAACATTTTATTTTAATCAAAATAAGTACATGATATAGAATGACACTATATATTCCAGACTAATATATATATATATAGAAATTATTTTAAGTATAATATAATTATATAATATATATATTATATTTATATTAATATAAATATATTATTATTTTTATATATAATTATGTTACATGTATTATATATATATATATATATATATATATATAAATCATAATACATGTGAAATTTATATATATAATAAACATTTTATTCAAATCAAAATAAGTACATGATATAGAATGACACTATATATTCCAGACTAGCTTGATAAATCACCATATAAATTTATTTTTAAATTATAAATATCTTAAATGATTTGATGGCGCTTAACTAGCTTCAATGTAGTGACCAATTCTTCCTCAAAAATGCTCATTGTATCACACATATCTTAATCAAAATCTGGATATGTGCACATTGTCTCCCAGAAGTTGCGTAGAAGCAATAAAAATACTTTTCAGTCATTCTTTCTGAAGCAAACAACTGTGGCATCTGAGAATGAGACTTGTCATTGTTAACAAGAAATCAGCATGAAATTCTTTGAAATTCTTGTGCATTCATTATCTGTTATTCCCTTGAGTGATTTGTTAATTTTTGGTCTGGTTCTATTTGATATCTCTATATTTCCTATGCAAGTTTTACTTATGAAGCAGTACACTGAAAATGTGGAGCAGAAGCAACAGAGCAATAAACAGTCGCTCATCTACTCGGGCATCAAAAACATTGTCAAGTCCAGCTCTGGTAAGTGTCAATGACTCAATACTAGTCAATCACATTTATTGTGAACGTAATAGTGATTGTTGTAGAGAAGAGCAAAACGTCTTTTTCTAATACAGTAAAAATATTTCTCATTGACATCTGCTAAATGCCTCATACGCCCTTCGTGGTATCTGTCAGTGGAGGCCCTCTCATGAAATGTCACCTCCTCCGTCAGCCACTACAGAGACACGGCGGTGCTGGTCGGGTTCAGACAGGCAGACCGACGTACCGCGGTACCACAGCGAGGAGCGCAGTCTGGCCCTGCAGTTGTGTGGCTGGATTAGCCGAGGGCCTGACAACGATGTTGAACCCTTCCTGAAGTCTCTGGAGCAGGAGGGCGAGTGGGAGAGAGCGGCTGCCGTCGCCCTCTTTAACCTGGATATCCGGCGGGCCATTCAGATTCTTCATAAAGGAGCTTCCTCAGAGAAAGGTACAGGACTGGACTGGAGGAACATTGTCCAGACAGTGACTGGGGGCCTTCACAAGGACCCTCATGACCCCGATTAATAGTTTTTAGTCACGTGACTGGCCCAAACATCCATCCAAACAGGCCTGCCTGAGAAAGCCGAGGGCTTTTATATATATATATATATATATATATATATATATATATACTGTATAAATATATAAATTCATCATTATATGCTTTATTGATGATGCATGCATACTATATACAAGTAGATGAGAGCCATGTTAGTGCTACTTCCAAAAGATTTAGCCATTTTGACCAATATTGCAAATGTGTTTAATTTTTGCTACTGTTTTTTTACTTCTTTAGTGTTCACACTAACACTTTAGTGTGCAACTTTACATGCATCAAAATATGATGCACAGTAAAAAGATGAATAGCTACGTATATGATACTATTCAATTAATCTCATGATATTACTATTAATATTACTACATGATATTATATAAATTTAAGATGCTATCTGAATAATTTGAATTGCTTTTTCATATAGAAAAATAGATGTCAGTGTTTCCCTGAGGGATTTACAGGAAGTCTGTTCTCTCCTTTGTGCCTGGATGAATGCAAAGTTATTATAAGGACTGTGTAAAATCCAGGCTAGTGAGAAATGGTGTACGCCATCAGCTGCCTGTTTGCTATCAAAAGCGTTTCTTATATACTTAATTCAATGACAAAAGCGTGGCTTCCATTACACAATGATATTTTGTTAATATTAAATGGCCTGAAGCTGCAGATATATATGGCATATGGGGCTGTTTGCTTAATATTCATAATTGCCTGTTGTTTGGGTTTTAAGGATAATTTGTTTTGGCTCAGGGGTTTTTATAAAACAAATATGATCTTTATAAAGGGTGTGGTGTTTCACACATACTACCACCACGTTTGTCTTTTGTCTTTGCAGTGTTTTGTTTGCACTCATGGAAACGGCACATGATGTTCTGTCTTGGAACACAAAAGGAGATGTTTTACAGGATGTCCACAGAGCTCTTTTGCATACAATTGAACCATACATTAACCCGTGGGATGAAAAGCTGCCTCTTGAATACGTAGAAGTCCAAAATGAGGTGGAGAGGAAGAATTTCAGCAAACAACGACCTAAATTTCAGTCTATAATACATCAGGGATGTTATCGTTAACTAAAACTAATAAAACATTCTGTTTATTTAAATAACTCTGATATAAAATAAAACTATTAGTTGAATAAAATGTTGCATTGGCTGCAAAAAAGCCTGAAATTAGGTAAAGTTGAAGCTCTAAAATTATTAACTGGAAATAAATAACTAAAACCTAAAACTTTAATGGCAGTATTAACAAGTCAAATAAAATGACAACGTCACGTAACAAAATTACTAAAATTAACATGAAAACTAAAAATATAAAAATGAAAGCTAATTCAAAATATTAGTAAAATATAATTATAATAAAGCCAAAATAAAAACTGTATCATATAAAGCTATTATATGGCTTCAGAAAAAGTGCACAAGTCATATGGAATATTTTTATGTTCATTTTGTGATGTTGTTTTTTCCTTGGCAAACCCATGCTTTTGTTGTATGGAAGATCAATTTGGAGATTCATCATAAGAAAGAAATAATTTTGGAGTTGAATTTGAGTATTTTTCCTTTATTCTCTGATCAGGTGATCTGAATCTGAACGTGGTGGCCATGGCTCTGTCGGGCTACACCGATGAGAAGAACTCCCTGTGGAGAGAGATGTGCAGCTCACTCAGACTCCAGCTGAAGAAGCCGTACCTGTGCATCATGTTTGCCTTCCTCACCAGTGAACCCGGCGCGTATGACGGGGTCTTGGTATGTTAAAAGAAAAAAAACTAGGCTGAGTATTGAGCTTAAATGAATTGAAAAATTGAATTTAAAATTGCTGAATATCCAGGCTCTTTATTTTACAGTATGAGAGTCGTGTTGCTGTCAGGGACAGGGTGGCCTTCGCATGCATGTTTCTAAATGACGCTCAGGTAAGGCCCGTTCACCCTCTGTTCATCCAAGTGCCACTGGTGTGCTGTATGTAATATACTTTCATTTTATTTCCTCCCTTAAGTTGCCTCGTTACATTGACAAGCTGACCAATGAGATGAAGGAGGCTGGTAACCTGGAGGGAATCCTGCTCACGGGACTAACCAAAGATGGAGTCGATCTCATGGAGAGTTATGTAGACCGAACCGGAGACGTGCAGACGGCCAGTTTCTGCATGCTGAAGGTAACCGAACATCCATGATAAAGATCTGTCTTCGGATGGATGTTTGGTATTACATATACTACAATTCTCTGATGATCACCAGTGCTGCATTTGTTTGATCAAAAATACTGTAAAAGTTTTTTTAAATGACTGTTTTAATAGATTTTAATATGCAATGTGTTCCTGTGATGGCAAAGCTGAATTTTCAGCATCATTACTCCAGTCTTCAGTGTCACATGATCCTTCAGAAATCATTCTAATATGCTGATTTGCTGCTCAAGAAACATTTCTGATTATTATCAATGTTATAAACAGTTGTGCTGCTTCAAATTTTTGTGATTTTTCTTTTCCCCCAAGATTCTTTGATTAATAGAAATCTGCACTTATTTTAATTTAGCATTTTTGTAACAAATGTCAGTACTGCTTCTTTTGATACATTTTTGCATCCTCAGAATATCCTAGCTTACACTTGAACGAGGGGTGCAAACGGTTAATCGATTGTCGACAAGAATTTACTTGATTAAATTAATTGTTAATTGTTAGCTAATTCAACATTGCGAACGTGACCCGAGATGCTCACGCTGCGAGAGAGCCGACACAAACTTTGAGGCGCAAAAAACAAAAATGCTAACCTCAAAAATCCAGCTGTATTTATCCTGACAATAATTTAGCTCACCTGTCAATACTCCCGTTTTTCCTGGGTTTGCAAATCTCCCGGTTTGTTATTTTTCCCGGGAAACTAGTCTAACTGTCTGTCACACTTTCATACATGGTGTGTTCGCATAGACAGCAAAAGGGGTGTTCGAGGCGCACGGCACATACACGCACAGCTCTTAAAGGGGCATTTTTTTTAAAGTTGTACATATTTTTTATGTATTTTAATTTTCTGTGCATAATTCATTTTCTACGTAAATGCCATTATCTGTGACGTATCCCAACTGTTACAATAAAACATCAATTGAGCATTATAACATGCTTTTTTATTCAATATATAAGCAATATTTAGCTTTTTATGTTAAACTGATACCGTGAGAAATTTACATTCTCAGGAAAATAGGCGCTTATAAACTAATGATTAATGAATTAATCGATAATTTGCATCCCTAACTTGAACAGTAGTGAATATTACAACAGAAACAAAAAGTTAAATGCAAATAAAATAAATTCAGATGTTGATTAGATTGCAGGACGGAGCCCCTAAGGGGACGTGGAAAAAATATGAGATGGGAGGAAAAGTAATCAGTCAATGCTTTTTCGTTCTCTCGCAAAATGTTTGCGTTCCCCGAGAAACTTTTTGCATTCGCTCTGTGTTCTTTGCGAGTTTCTTTCGGGAACACAAAACATTTGTGAGAAAACGCAAAAGCCTTGCCAAAAGTTCCTCTCGTCTCATATTTTTTTCTTCATAATGTCCCTTTAGAGCCTCCGTAGGGTAGGACAGACTGAATGGAACTGTTGTAAAACTGGTGTACATTCAGGTCTACTTCGCAAAAGTTGTGGTGAGTTGGTAAAAGGTTTGTGTATTTGGTGTTTGTTCTGGTAGGGCTCCCCAGGAGAGGTGCTGAAGGACCCTCGGGTGCAGTGCTGGATCGAGAACTATCGCAACCTGTTGGACGCCTGGAGGTTTTGGCATAAACGGGCTGAATTTGACATTCATAGGAGCAAACTGGATCCCAGCTCAAAACCACTTGCACAGGCTAGAATCAGATTTTTATTAAGTTTTAATTAGGCATACATGATATGATCACTGAACAATGGATCGGTCAGTGTTTTTTTTTAATGATCAATCTGATTTGGCTAATTCTGTTTTTTTTTGTGATACTTTTTTACTATCAAATAAAATTCTAGAACACATTTTTTTTATATGGTAGCCATAACATAATAATTATCAGTGAATTCCTAGCATGAAATTTTTGGTTGCATCCTTCAGCTTAAATGTTGTCGTTATGCTGGCTATTTCTGATTTTCTTCGATTATTTTTGATGTATTCTGTGCAGGTGTTTGTGAGCTGTAACTTCTGCGGTAAGTCTATATCATACAGCTGCTCGGCGATACCACATCAGGGCCGTGGATTCAGTCAGTACGGGGTCAGCGGTTCGCCCACCAAGTCAAAGGTCACCAGTTGCCCTGGCTGTCGTAAACCACTTCCACGCTGTGCCCTCTGCTTAATGAACATGGGCACCCCTGTGTCCAGCTGCCCAGGTAACAGACGGATCATTTAAAGTTCCTCTTGATAAATGATGATATAATGCCCACATGTGTTTAGCTCATTGTGAGTCTCATCCATCTTATCAGCAAAAGCAGATGAGAAAGCCGATCTCACACGAGACAAAAAACTTGCACAGTTCAATAACTGGTTTACCTGGTGCCACAACTGCCGGCATGGTGGTCATGCGGGTCACATGCTCAGCTGGTTCAGGTAAGAGTCATATTCACCCATATTATGCCATTTATTTGATGGCATTACACATACAAATACACTACTGTTCAAAATTTAGTTGAGTTGGGGTTAGTAAGATTGTTTTTTAATTCAGCAATAGCCCTGTTTGGATGGTAATTGTTTCTCATGAGGGAAGACACTATATTTGTCCTCCACTACAAGAATAAAATGAGAATAAAAGCATGTAAATATTTGAAATACGCCATTATTATGGCTACAACACGTGCAATACAATATTATACACAATTATGAACATAAACCAAGTAGACAAGTCAATTGTTTACCTTATTTAAATAAGAGGTTGTATTAACTTATTTCTGCTATTTACCATTTCAAATATTGTATAACACATCAGTTTGCCTGTTTTAAATAGGATATTTAAATGGTCAAATAATAAATGGGATATTGTTTTCCTATTATTCAATTAAATATAGATATATTTATATTTTTCCAAGCATATGTGAGCATTGTTTTCCCGGGTTCATAGGATCACACCGTTCCTTTACCGTGAAAAAAAATGTATTCCTCATAAAGTGGCATGCAATTATTTTTTTGTCCACTTGAGAAATAATTACCATCCAATTAGGGCTAATGATGCATTAAATCAAAAATAATTTTTCAAATAAATGCTGTTCTTTTGAACTTTCACATTTTCCAAGCATATAAGAATGATTTCTGAAGGATCATGTGACACGAAGACTGGAGGAAAGATGCTGAAAATTCAGCTTTGTTCACAATACAATTTTCTAAATATATTAAAATAGAAGAGAGTTATTTTAATTTGTAATAATATTTTTCTGCATTTTGGATCAAATAAATGCAACCATGGTCTCAAAAGAGACTTCATTCCAAAACTTTAAACGCTAAAAAACTGTATAGTATGGAGTACAACATTTTCAAAGTAATATTTTATATTCTGTCCTTTCAGAGATCACAGTGAGTGTCCCGTGTCGGCCTGCACCTGTAAATGCATGCAGCTGGACACCACAGGCAACCTGGTGCCTTCTGATAGTGTATAAAGGCTTATCTGCCTTCCTTTTCCAAGTTAAATCTGCCATGTTACTAGAAACCAGCTACCAACACTAGTACTGTAAGTGATGAGGGGAAAGATCTCACGGTTTCAGCAGTGATCTGTACACCTCACTTGCATTGATGTCAACGACAGGTGTTCTATTGTCACAGGAACAGTTAGGATTATGTTACCCATGATTAACTCACGCACCCACGGGCAGTTGTGCTTCCTGAGAAAAGTGTCCATGTGAATGTCTGACCAAAGCATTTGGGATTCAGGAGCAAGAATTTCTATGAATAAAACTATTTCAGTATTGAGTTTAGAGACAGGAAAAGGGATATTACGATCATTTCAACATGATGAGTTTGAATACATGTGAGAAATGTTTTGTTGATGTCTCGTAGAAAGTGCTTTTACGTGGTCCATCACTACTTCCATTGCTTGCCTTCATCATATTTCTTTAAAAGGAACCACCATTGTAGAGGTGTTATACATCAGGTTAAGGGAAGCCCAGGTCAAGAGAAATGATTCTCACTGGAAAGTAGTAAAAATTTTGTTCGGTTTGTTTTTTTAAAATTGCTTTTAACAAATAACACAGTGATTTTTGTTGTTTAAAATGTGTACTATTAACATTAGTTCTGGCTGAGTGTTGCATTTTTGGATCTGAAGGTAATGTAAAATGCTGTTTTGTAGTTCTTACCTTAATTTATTGCACAATCAATGCAACAACTAAACATCCTAACTATTTAAATGATTGTCTTTATTTTTGGAAAAACAAAAAAGAACTTCCATTGAGGACTAATGTTATTAAAACACTTTTCTGAAGGAGTTTTGAATGAAGTCTTTTTTTTTTCTTCAATGTGATTTTATGCAGATTTTAAATGAACCACGATGCATTAGCAATAATTAAGAAATTAACTGTTTGGATCGGAAATTTCCAAATCTGTCTGAGTTAAAGCGCACCCCAAAATCAAAGGACAAAATGAGCACATTTTAAGGACAATTACAGTTTTTATGGATTGTGACATTTTCAAGACAATAAAGCCATTGAACCTTTTTGAGACCTAAAGACAATTTGCATTTGAGACATGGTACTTGAGACTTTCCTATTGTTTTCCTGCATAGATTTTTTGAAAATCATGTGTAATATATGATAAAATATGGTCTGTGGTTAACATTAGTCTCACGTTTTGTTCTGCAACATGAATTGCAGTCTAATACCTCTAATTCAGATTTGAGTTATGGCTGTAATTTATGGTGTAGAACAAAACAAAAAGAAATTCTTGAAGGAACTCATGACAACATAGCCTTCCCTTTGAGACTTTGGATGGAAAAAGTGCTTTGTCATTAGAACTAATATCAATGCCATCATACTGAGCGTCAGACCCATGGCTGCTTTGAGTTTGAACTAGAACACAAATGAGATTTGAGGTTAGGAAGTGAAGCTGGTGTTCTGTCAGTATTTACACACAACAATTTCATCTATGTATGGACTACTTTCATGATGTTTTTGTCATTTTTAGAGCTCAACAAGTCGAGTCTTTTCAATGGAAAATATCAACATATGGGAAACTATTCCTTTAACATCATCTCTAGATATCTCATTCTCAAATAATGATTTCCAGAATGTAAACAAGACTCCTACACTTTCTCTGTTCAGAAAATGAGGCAACATAAAAACATTCCAAAGCTCCAAAGCAGAATGCTTATTTTTCCATGGAACGCTAAACCCCGCCCCGGAAAGAAATACAGTGATCTAATTGGCTCTTTGCGAAAAGAAGGAACGCATAAGCCAATGGTGATCAAACAGCGCTGGTCTCTGCCCCAATCAGAAGCAGACCTCACGCGTCTTCCGCCCGCCCACTGCCTTTACTGCAACATCTGTCAGCTCAGGAACACTCACTCACTGAAGAGTTTGGTCCTGCTTCTGAACTTTGCGTCCGATTTGTTTCAGAGTTTTACAGGCAGTGACAATTTAATACGCGCACAATAGATTAAGAGGAAGCAAAGTTTAAAAATAGATCAGCTTTTCGCATGAACGCGTTTTCAGTTCTCGTTCAGGAGTTTATTGTGTCTCGTGCGCATTTACTCACCCAGTGCAATAGTAAGTCTAGACTTCAGCCTGTTCTTGCCAGTGCCCCTCTGAGATGGAGTGATGAGAGATCTCTTTCATTCTTTCAAGACACAGCAGAAGTCCTTCATCATCCTCACAACATGAAGCAGATCACCAAGCCCATCAGGATCCCATCAGAGAGTCACTTTATAACAGCAGGGAAAGGTACGTTTTATTTATTTTGCAAGTTTTGAAAACGTGACAGCAGCATCTTATTTTCCAAATGCATTTTTAGCTTTAAACCTCTTCTAACTTTAGTTTGTAACTCTTTACTATGAGGTTTAATTTGTTAACATTAACTTGAACTAACAAGGAACAATAGGGGACCTGAGACCCAGACCAACATCACATTTCTGTGGTCATCATCACAGATCTCAAGACCTCGATGTGTGTGTGTGTGTGTGTGTGTGTTTTAATGTACAGTATGTTTTCCTATGTTTTATTTTAATTATTGTATTTCAAGTTCATGTTTTTGTCATCCAGCCATAAATTCTGAATATATCAATTGAAAATTATATGAAATAATTATAGCAGAACAGTTTATCACACCATTTTGCGAAGTATCATATATTTTAATTTCATTGCACGGTTCCCTGGAAGTCTGATTCTGGTCAGATGAGGTAATTTGACACTAAACCTCATAATTGATCGTCAATCATTTTCCTACATATCTGTGCTTCATGTTTCTTGTAATCATTATTTCATGTTCATTTATCTATTTATTTGACAAGTAGCTATATCATAAGGAAGATATTATACAATCAGATGATTATCATCGCAAAATGGTAAAACTGTGCAAAACTGTGGTCTCTAAAAAAGTTTTATTTTTCAATAATTACCAGCTGACAGCAGATTAACCACAATGCGCCTCTGAACATGTTCCCTCTGGTCAGGTGACGTGCCTTTAATGTAATTCTACAGTCACAACATATTTACTATGTTCGGAATAGCATATACCATACTATCCTGGTATGCACAATGTGTACTTTGCACAGTATTTTTTGTATGGATGAAATTTCCGAATAATCTACAATGTTTGCTGAAATGTAGAGGAATTCTGTATCCCACAATGCAATGTTCTAAACTTGACCTTCTGTTTCAAGTATGATGAGTGTGAACTGGAAGCGACAGCTTGATTTCGTATTTGATCAGACATTTTTACAATTATTTTAATATATTACAGAATTTTTGTTCTTAGATAATAATAAATGCACATCATTCATTGAATTAAACATGACACATCTGACAATGGAGCACACTATTTTTTGAAAAATTAATCATTACTTTGTTTTATAGTACATATACACACTAATTGGTAAATAATAGTAAGCAGTGTTCAGTATTATAGCTAATGCGCCAGTATTCCATTCTGAACATGGCCTTTGCGTTTCAATTGTTCACAAGTGTTTCATTGTGCGTAAGTTCAGAATTTTAAAAACAACGTTCTGACATTTATTCGTTCATATATGAGTAAACTACTACTGCCCAAACCGTTGTGGCCTGGCAGGCTGTAGCGCTCAAGACAGCTCTCTATCTCTCGTCCTCATGGAGTGCCTGATGCTTGTGTAGATTTGCATTTGAAATGCTTCTCCTTCACACAAAGACCTTGCAGCTGCCTCGCGGCAATCTGCAAGTGAATGTAGTGTAGCCGTCCCCCAAACAAGTGCATTGAGAAAAGGTGTGTGTTCTCGGCTGAAAATGTTTCGGAGCTGATGTTATCATCCAGTGTTTGAGGCCTGTGCCCTACTGTAACCAGCCATGACACGTCTTCTCGTGTCATGAGTGTCGCTTGCAATGGTGTTTTTGTACATTGTTGTAAAACAATGAGCAGGGAGTAAACCGACAGTGCCATTTTGTTGGCTCTTTTGCATAGGCTTTGACATTTGTGTTTGCAGAGCTGGAGCAGAGAGCAAACACACGTAGGAATCGCTCTGTGGGCTGCATGCAAGCGGGTTGTTTTGAATTTCAGCTGGTGCTGCATGTGTGTACATGCATGTGGGTTTCACTGTGAGCAGTTTCACTTTGTTTCATTTCCTCCTGAGTGTCCTCTGACTCTGAGAACAGTCATTTATATATTATATAATACATTATACATTATATATATGAGCATTGTATTTTGGGATCCAGAAATTGCAGGTTATTCATCCATTTAAAACGTATATATATATATGTATATATATGCAAGACAATACACATGGATGCATGCATTTTTACAAAACAAAAGTTATCAGTTGATAAAGTCATTTATTGACAGTGTCAAGTGCATTCAGTTCTGCATTGTAATGATATTATATTAGTTATATTATTTTCAAATTGTCATTTAATTTCTTTATATGTATACTATTCTTTCCATTAATAATATTTAAAGCTGCAGTCCGTAACTTTTTTGGGTTGAAAATTATCCAAAATAATTTTTTGAGCAAGTACATAACCAGCCAGTGTTCAAAACTCTCTCCTTGCCTTAGCTTGATTCAAAGCAGTAAGCTTGTAATAATGTTTTTAACTCCAGTGGTACTGGTGGATTTCCGCGAGAGATTCGAGCATGTCTTTGCGACATTACGTCACATCTGTACACATAAAGAAGAGTCTCAGGCCTCGGCTAGTAGCTTATATTAAGATTGAGGATGCTGGAGGTGGAAATTTATAGCCTTTTCTCACAACACTTGATATAATTAAACTTATTAATTAGATGGCGGATCCAGAAAGGTTCAAACGACAATCACCAGAGACAACTAGAGACTCATCCACTGTAAAAAGCCAAAAGACTTCAGAGTGGCTACAAAAAAAAAGAGACTGCAACCGGCCCATGCGAAAACAAGGATAAACATCGGAAGGCTATTAAATGTAGTCACACAACGCTGATGTTGTTAACATGAACAATTTGAGAACAAAGTTTCATTTTTGCACGGTTTTACATGATATGATTGTTAGATTTAATCAGCAATTTTTTCTCTTAGTTGGTCTTCAGAACAAAAGTGGATGTTACCTTCTTGTTCAGGTGACATTTTCCTGTGAAAATTATGTTGGTCATACTTTGTTGGTCACATTCTCCTCAAAACATTGTGTTCATCCTCGCTGTGCCGTGCCGAGGCACAACTCGTGTATAGTTGATAATTCCGTGAATAACTGCAATTGCAGATTTCGAACACAGATGGCGACAAAGAGGAAAAACTGCGAACTGCAGCTTTAATGATATTATAATACAATAGAATTTTAATATAATTTATTTTTTTATTATTTTTTGATATTTATATTATTATTATTATTATGTTTATTATCAGTTTTGTTTCTTAAACTCATCCTGCACCTACAGTTTAATTTATCTTTGTGCCATATAGAATCAGAGAGATTTTTGGCTGATGGATCATAAAATGGGCTAAAAAATAAAATAATAATCATCCCATAGACTTGTACTGAAGGAGGGACACTGAGCCATATCAATTAATCTTTTAGGCCTATAAACAGACTAGCAACTATAACATTAGTTATAGTTAAACACTGTCAAATTTTCTTCAGAAAATATAAATATTAAGTTTCTGTTGTTTCCGTTCCATCATAAACACAATCTCTTTTTGTTCTGTTTCAGTACTGTTATGACATTGCAGACAAATGATCATCAGTTTCCAGAGACACCCACCAACTTCCTCTCTGTCACCATAATGCAGTAATTTCTCATGTCACCGTCCACTGGATACATAATCATAAACACCTCTGTTTTTTCTCACAAGCACGATCAGCCAGTCGACAGCCGCTCTCATTGGACAAGCTGCCTGAGCAGTACCTAACTGGACAGTGGCCACGGGAGCCGTACCAACCCCAGCCGTCCTGCATGAGTGATAAAGCCACACAGGTCAGTCAACAGTATAGTCACTTAAAATGCCTGAAAATCCATTGCATTAGACCACAAAATATCAGACAAGTTGCATCTGCAAACCATTGATATGTGACCTATTTTTATGTACTAACTTCACATCATTTTTACTCAATGATTTAATAATGTTTCACAAACACAAAGTGAGAAATGGTGTTCACAACCAATTTTACGTCCATAATCAGATATGTTTCCAAATTAAATAGGGTATTAAACAATACAACTTGTTAATTATATCATCAAGAAATGATTTGAAAAAAGCGGACGTTACATAAAATGGAGCCATGTGGTTATGAGAGTTGAAAAATAAGTGTCCCAATGACATAAATAGAGAAGGAAAGTCGTTGCAGAGATGGCGGTGCAAATAAATACATTTTAATGAAATTAAAAAGATTAAAAAAACAAAACAATTTTTTTGACTTATTAATACTAATGTCATACAAATGTTTCACAAAAACAAAGTGACCAAAAACTAATTTTTAATTTCATTTCTATTAGTTTATCACTTAAAACCTTTTTATGAAAGTGGCATTAAAAGAGTGGACGTGTCTGTATGTGTGTATATATATATATATATATATAATAGGGATGGGCAATGATTAATCCAAAATAAAAGTTTGTGTTTACATAATATATGTGTGTGTATTGTATATAATTAATTTGTATATATAAATTACCCACACATGCATGTATATATTTAAGAAAAATGTGTTATTAATATATCAAATATTTCTATATAATATTAATTGTGAATAAATATATATAAAATATATGCACATATTTCTTAAATATATATATGCATGTGTGGGTATTTATATATACAAATGAATTATACACACTACACAAACATATATTATGTAAACACAAACTTTTATTTTGGATGCGATAATCGCGATTAATCGTTGCTCATCCCTAATATATATAGAAATATGTATGCATAATGATAAGCCAAAACATTCTGACCAGTCACAGGTGAAGTGAATATCGTTGATCATCTCCTAATGAGGCCACATATTATGGTCTGGGTACAATGTTACAGACTGGTGACTGGGTCAGAGAATCTCTGAAACGGCAAGGCTTGTGGGTTGATGCCGGTCAGCAGTGGTGAATTAACCAACAGTGGTCTGAGGAGATGCAAACCACAAACCGGCAACTGGGCACCCAAGTCAAAGGCTAACCCGTCTGGTCCGACTCAACGGAAGGTTTACTGTGGCACAAGTCACACAACATTTGAATGATGGTTTTGTGAGGAATGTAACCACAGTGCATTGGACATTGAAGAATGGCTTTGCTTGTTAGTTTTGCTGTTTTTGACTGGTCGATATCCGTCTTACTCTGTTTTGTTTCCTTTCTTCATTAGTATCATGAAGTGCTCAGTGGTTTAGCTCTGCTAAGACCCCCTCGCCTCCCCTAAAACAAAACCGTCACAAAGGCCGACGCTTCGTGGCAGTCTGTCGCCATAGAAAGTTCTCTCTGGCGTTGTGTGGAGTGAATTCTTTCTGGAGGTGCAGCAGTTTGCACCTGTCGCTCTGTGTGTGTATTTGTGTGTAGGTGTGTGCACACGCTACCTAAGGGTTGCGAGCGCATGTCTGTGTGTCTCTGCACCACCTGGCGCTCTCCGACAGCTCTTTGTGTGCCTGTGGTGAGCTGCCCGCAGTGAGATCCATACATATGCTAATGTCTGATCCGGCTCGCGGAGGCCTCGCGCTCCCAGAGTCAGAATCATCCCGTTTCTCTCGACATCTCTCTTCACGCCGCAGAGCCGTGCCGAGGCTCTTTGTTGACAGTAGCAGCTTTTGCCATTGTTTAAAGCGCTTGGTGAATTGATGATTAGTGTTTAAAAACTTCTCATGGACTTTGCTTCCTGAAATGGTTCATTCAACCCCCCCCCAAAAAATGAAAATTTCGGCATCGTTTACTCACTCTCCCTTTGTGAAAAAGAAGTATGCTTTATGTATTGAATGTTCACTTGTTGTGTACTTCAAATTTTTAAGTATATTTCTAAAAAACTGTGCTTATAGATAACTTTCATGACTGTTTCTTTACACACTTAAAGGTACAATATGCAAGATTGTTTCGCCACCAGGGGTCGCTAACCTCTTACAATAACAAAGGTGTATATTGATGACGTATATTCTGCATTAAGCGGAATTGTGGATCTTGTCGTGAAGCTGATGGATCTTTTATGGATCATCTCCAAAGATGTTGATCTTCGTTTTAGTCCTCTTATCGTCTCAAAGTCTACTTGCCATGGTCCATAATGTTTGAACAAAACCCTGCTAGGGACACTCGCGCTGTTGAGCTCGCCTAACGGGCATAACCGACCCAGTTGTCAACGTCTGTCGCCATGGTTACTATTGCAGTACGAGGTCAAACCTGGCGGAAACCGTAACTCCTCACCCCTGCTCACACGCCCCGTTTCCTTGGTTAAAAACGCAATTTTCTCACGATTTAAATATAGTTGGAAACATTTGGGATATTGTAAGTAATCAACTAAACAAAATATATAACATTGGCCTTGTGGTTTTTGGATATTTTACTGCAAAAATCCTGCATATTGTACCTTTAAGTGTGTTTTTAAATTTGAATGCACTTTAAATTAACTAGTAAATCATTGTTTCAATAATATTTTGTCATTCAAGTATGCTTAGTTTTTACTTATGTTGACTAACATACTAAAGCATGTAAAATACTTGATTAATTGATATGAATATTTTTTTATAATGTATTTGCAACTTCATCATTACATACTTAAATGCATTGCATACACGTTTCAATAGAAAATACTTTAGTTTGATGATACATTTTTTGTCAGTACATTTGCCAGGACACTCAAAATATATTTTAAAGACAATAGAAGTAATTATAAAAGTATGCAATTAACTTCTACTTAAGTGGGTCAAAAAAAAAACACTCTTAAGTTCAACAAATTGCATTCAATATAAATATAAACTACTATATATAACATTGCAATAAAGTGTCTGAAACATTGCATTCAGGTTGTATTGAAAGATATTCTCTTCCAGAATATTTTATTATTTCCATAAAACCACAGTCAGTCCAAACCAGTATGACTTGCTTTCAGTCAATAGGGTCCAATATAGTTTTCGGCCCCATTGATTTTTAAAAATTTTATATATATTCCTTCACCGTTCACTTAACTTTCTCAGACTTTCTAAGAGGTTTATCAGCTGTCACCGCAAAACACATTAAAGACAAGAAGAAAATGACTATTTGGAAAAAGTTGCACTTATTTGTGGTGTCTTTTGTCCATCTTTTGTGGCTGTTTGTTTGTTCTTCTTTTTTGTTGCGTTTTGGTCAAAGCGGCACATATGCTGTTTGCCAACCACAGACATCCTGTTGTTGTTTTATGAAAAATATACATATCTAGGTCACATGATTTCAAGAATATATTCTATATATGACCTCATTTAAAGTCCGCAAGATTATTTAGTCAAGTGTGTGTGCATGGTTGAACATGTTTTGACCATGTTTATTGCAGACGCCTGGATTTTGGACTGAGGATGGAGGAGAGGTTATCGTACACAAGCGCTCGGCATCATGGGGGAGCGCTGACCATCTCATAGAGGTATGCATGAAAATACTTGCATGTACCAAAACAAAAATACTAACAAATGTACCAAACTTTTATGTTTTGGTCTGGTTTAACAGAACCGAAATACGTACATGTGTGAACACAACACACCTTATATCAGGGTCGTGAACCTATGGCTCGTGAGTCACACATGGCTCTTTGACAAATGTGGCCCGCAAGGTTTCTTACCCTTCACCAGCATATGACCCTTAAAAACTTAGATACATCACTAGAGATCAGTTTCCAATTATATTTCAAGTAATTCCGTGTAGTTTGTGCATGCAGTGCTGTGTGATTTGTTTGTGAGAGAATTTGTTTGCGAGTCCCGAGGTGCGAGTTTGGTGATAGAATGCAGTTGTCACTCCTGTAAACCGTGTGAATTCAACCATATTAAAAGTTAAATACAGAACTCATAAACATATTCAATTGCTGTGTGAACATCGCCATAGTAACCTCTGGGTTTTGATGGGTGGAGGTGTGTTTATTTATAGACATACTTTGGGCGTATAATTGGCTTTGTTTCCCATAATTATGGGAAATAAAAAAAATGTACCCACACATTGTGTCTTGACTTGCCAGTATCATGCACTTGCAAAGTCGGTTTAGGAATCCCAAGATGTGGCAACATAACAAACATCTATTCTGAAAGCTAAATTAGCAATGAAACCTGTGCGGTTTATTATATATAGTATATAATATATGGTTAGTTGTCAGGGCATGTCATCTAGTATTCAATAGTCGTCTGGTGTAGTATGGCATGAGCTCAGATTTTGCGTCAACAATTGTTCTTTCTTTCCAGCCATTGCTAATGATAAATATGTACTTTCTAGATCGCTAAACTCCGCCAGCAGCTTCAGCGCAGTTTGCAGGGAAGTTGCAATATCAAGGAGAAAGAAGAAGTGACGCAGCTGAACCAGGTCCAGGTACTGTAGATCGTCTTCATCATGTGTGCTCGGATAGTTTTGCATCTTTATCGGATAGCTTGCATCTCTGCCTTTTTAGGGTACTTATCCCGAAGTAGCCTATTACCCATAACCATAACTCTTTAACTCTTTTTGAATGGTAATGTATATATATATATATATATATATATATGAAGAGTTCAGATGCAAAAGCCTCTAAATGCCATTTGAAATTTTCTTCTTTAATGATGATTTTTATCAACTTGTATATTTAGTTCAGTATTTCACTTAAATACAATTAATAGGTAATTATCATTGCCATTTAAGTGAAATCACGAATAAATATACAGTTTGATAAAATATCATTAAAGAAGAAAATTCAAATGGCACTTAGAGGCTTTTGCATCTGAATCTTTCATATATAAACTTTTGAATGGTAGTGTATATATATATTAATATATATATATATATATTATTTTAATAATTTCTATATATTTATCATTTCTATTATATTTTTGGTCAAAACATGATAGTTTTTCACGATTTTAACTTATTAGAATTTAATTTCTAATTTCTATCTTTAAAACAAAACTTTCTTATTTTTATCTCTTACATTTTGGAGTGAAATTTGATACTATTTTTGTTAGATTAACCCATATTTATTGAGGCAATTTCAGACATTAATCAGGTGACTTTGACATTAATGTACTTACTGGTCTAATTAGTCTCTTTAATGAAGAT